ATTGTTTACGCCGTATTAGTTTCTGCATACTTGACTTAAGCCAGGAGGAGTAGAATTTGTTGGTTCATCTTGGAATCAGAGGAGTATTCTTTTATCTTCCGGGGGATTATGTTCTTCAACAGATTCCATGTGGCATCAACATCCAGTAGGTCATGGCAATTTAGCCAAGAGGGACCTTCTAGACCCTGCCGGACCTTCCCAAAATCAGTTCTGCAGTAATTCCTGATTAGTGGCTGGTCAGAAACGAGTGGCTTAGAAAGGGATATATTGAGGGAGATAATTGCACGGTCACTTAGACCAAAAGGACTGAAAACATTCAAGCTGCTTACCTCCAATGAACTGATTTGTGGAAATACAATCTAGTCGGGATGCCTCACCGTCAAACTCCCAGCGAGTACACTGGGAGAAATGTTCGGACAAGGGGTTTTCCAGTAACAGTTCCCGAAAGCCTTTTAGAGCAGTAGATGGACTTTCTGTGGTAAAGAGTAGAGTTGAGGAAAGTTAAAACCTCCATAATGAGGACCTGTAGGAAGTTCAGCTCCAAGGCTGTTCCGATGGATCGTATTAACACTTTATTTAACGTCACATCTGCTTCAGGAGGGCGGTATAAGACTCCAACTAAACACGGACCTCCACAGCACTTAATGCTACACCACAGAACATCTTTAGTGCCAATTCCATGGGATTGAATCTCACGCACTTTTAGGGAAGGACAGGTGTAAAGAGCAACGCCACTTCCCGGGCCCTCTGGTCTATCCTTTTGGATAGGGCTGAGCTGCTCTAAGCAAACTTCCCCGTCTTTTACGTCCTCTGTGAGCCATGTTTTACAGAAAGCCATTACGCTAGGGCTATCCTCATCAACTAATAATCTTAACTCAGATACCTTGGAGCTCAGGCCACGTAAATTACTGTAGGTACAGTGAATAAGAGGCAGAGGTCACAGAAACGGGTTGAGTTCAGGATGTGTTGCAGACTTTAAATAGCAGACTTTGATAAGTATTTTGATAAGGCGGTGGGACCAAATCTGAAATCCGTACTGACAATATTAGATAACGCGGGTTCGATGTCCAGTGTCTGCCCAACGAGCTTGAGTAAACCAGTTGATTTGTACCTGCTGGCTTCTTGGTCTTGCGGAACGGTTCCTAGACTTTGATGGTCTAGAGAACAATCTGTTTGTATTTCGGCCCGTTCATACTAAATAAATAAATGTTTTATTCTCGTGTTAAAAAAGGATTTTAACACGAGAGAAGCCAGTTTACAGGCTTCATCACGTTGATACATCTCAAAATGTCTACGAGATTTGAGCCCTGAGTGGTACTGATGGAATGTCATTAAACTCAATAAAAAAATTTTTTTAAACTGCCGAAGGTCCAATATCCAATATCGATAGTGCGAGCGTAGAAAACTGGTAGTTTTTGATCTCTCGCGTCTAGTTCTTAGGGCTTGGTTCCAGTTGTTCGGTTTACTCCTGCAGTGGACGAGGAAATCCCCTCTGCTTTCTTGCTTTTAGCTTCGGTGAGGTGGATGTTTTGTGGGTTAGTAGGTTGTAATTTGTAGAGTGATTAGGGAGCTACGGGTTGCTGGGAAGTTTAGAGAACTGCCATGACTCCTGTCTGTGTAGGTACCTGAAAGAGAATAGTAAGGTAGTGGTAAAGGAATGAAGAGAGAATAAAGAAGAGAGTGAAGTAGCACCATAGAGACTCTGGGAGCTGGGTTAAGGCCGTATCGCTAACCATCCTTGCCTTTAAACAGGAGTTTACGTAGATAGCCACTCCCCCTCCTGCTCTATGTTCCCTGTCCCTGCGGAAGAGTTCCATGCCAGCAACACGCATCTCTTCGTCGGAGATGTCCGATGAGAGCCAGGATTCGGTGATGAATATGATGTCGTAGTGCTGATGTTCACGCAGCGTCCTCATTTTGCTACCTTCCCTCTTAGCCCCCTAACGTTGCTGTACATACATATTAGAGTGTGCCTGATGAGAGGGGAGGTCTGGATGTGTATTTTCGAGGGATGAGCGCTTACGTGGTTGATTTAGCCTCGCCAGTCCTCATAGGACTGGCATTGTTCCGTTTTTTGTGTTTTGTTCTTAACTTGGGTGGGGGCTGTAGCAGTGGTGGCTTCTTTACTTGATGTATCTAACTCACTGGTCAGCGCCTGTGTGACGACCACTGACTCCAGAGGTCTTGGTGGTTGCCGTCTCTCCTCTTGCCTTGTGGGTCTAGGCTTACTTTCACATATACGTATTGAGCCACCCATGCGATCTTTCGCATTATACCATGCGTGCAGAACGTCTGTGAGGGAGGCATATGAGTCGAACTGGACGGCAAGTAGTCTGGGATTGGGTATGGTCTTCAGGTGCGCTGGCCTTGGCAGTCTACTGACGCTGTTGGCCGGTATACTGTTGAGACCAACTTTGGTTGAGAGCCATTGCCATTGTTGGACGTCGTGAAAGTACCGATCTTTGACCGAGCTGTCACTTGGCAATTCTGGAATCCCATGTACAACTATAGTGTTGTTTCTGTTGGGATTTCCAACCGCTGACTTTCTCTCCTCCTCTCTTATTGACCATGGCTTGTCAGGCCTGGCCCGAATTTTACAGGCATTAACAACGTCCGGTTGTCGCGAGAGAAGGAGTGTGTCTTCAGCCTCTTTGGCGGTATTTAGGGACACACGTAAAGGGGGTGGCTTATCTCGGGGTGCATGGCTTCCTCGAGAAAGGCGACATAAAGTTGCAGGGAGGGGAGGGAGTCCCAGCATCTGACAGTAGTCGGTCCACATTCGGCTGTCAAATTGTTCCCTCTCGACCAACAATGAGTCTGTCGATACATCGACGTTGAACAAAATGATCGAGTTGGTCCTCCTGTGACCTGGGTTCGTTGTGGGTGGCACGCCCGACTTCCCAATGGGTTTGAGTAATTCCACTGGTTGTTTCTCAGTCACGGTGTGTGGGGTGTTCGGAATGGGTTTCGTAGAGGCTTCGGCGGTCGATGTCTTTGGCCATGCGCTTGACGTCCCCTGGGGCCGGGTAGGGGTATGGAGACTTGACCTAATATGGTCCCCACGCGAGGTGGCGTGCCCACAGCTGGAGCTCTAGGTCTGTTTCCAGGTCTCTCTGTGTTATCCTTTGGTGTTAACCCTACTTTATTCGAGGATGCTGGTAGCTTTTGCGTGGCGGAGAGCATCTCCTTCAGGCTTTCTGTGCGGAGTGCGGGCATTTTCCTGCACTCTGGACAGATGTACCAGAACCACTTGCATGGTTGTCTCTTCATCAGCTTATAGTATTGTCGGGGGACTTTGGTATCGCAGTGGCAATGCGCCCATCGTTGACATAGGTTGCATGCAAATGCCTCATCGACTACCGAAACAACTTTGGTGCAAACACTGCAGCCATCGGGTGTCGTAATACAGCCTTCCTTCCATGAATAAGGTGCTACGGATTGTGGCGAACTGCTTGTGGCTGCCTTGTTCTGAAGCCTTTTACGTCGTCTTCTATTTTCAGGCATGGTATGATCCTTGCTCAAGATAGGACTAGTTTGTGACGGGCTAGTGCTACTCTGTGTCACCTGTCTGATGGCGACTGGAATTCTAGAAACATGGGTTGGCCACTTCTTTAGAAGTTCGGTGTTCTGCCCTACCTCTGTTTGTCTTCTAGTACAGACTAGTGTGTTGTTTAGGGTGTTACTGGCCGTTTTGTGCACGACCGCGTTATCCGTGTCAAAGCTTCAGACCTAGCGTTTTGGGCAGACATGTCGCTATGATATAAACTTCTTGGGAAAACAAGTAGTTAACAACAATAAGAGGGTTGAAGACTGAATGCAGCAAAAGGACAGAATAGAAAAGGGAAGATAATTTATGTTGGCTCACCTTCAGACACTTGTCACTTGATCCTCTGCTCTTGACCAACGAGTTTAACCGTAAGCTCCAGATGCGTATGTATAACCAGGAAAGATATTTCCTGGGGAATGACCTCCGAGGAGAACCGAGAGCTAAGGCAGTTTGGCAGTTGAAACGCCCAAGAACCACTGACAGGAGGTAGACCGGTTGGTTCAAAGGAATAATAATGCCAATTTTCAACTGTTGAGGAGTGAGCTGACGAATGCGCAGGGGTGAGGTGCGTGGACGGACAGAAGTGCTGCAAACGTTCGATGTTTTTAGATTGAGTATTGCAAGTGGGAGTTTTTCATTGTGGAAAAATCCAAAAGCTGAGAGACGAGCGAAACACGTCACTACTCAAGAAGCCCGCTGGGTTAAAGGTCCTGCTAGTTATGAGATGAACGAGGAAATATTACTTTACTGCGTACATAGGGTATTAAAGTTTAGACAATAGTAAATGTCGCCTTCATTTAACAGACTTAACATGAGGGATACCAGTTTACAAGGACCGTCAAATTCATAACCTTTGAAAGTATCTAGTATCTACTACATATCCCTTTGTGCACACCTAGGCTACTGGACACACGAGCGGGTTACCAACGGCTCCTAGACGTGGAAGCCAGTTTTATGAAAACTTCTGTCCCATCACTAGCCATTTGGTGCTACTGCGACCTTGGCGGTATTTCAAAACTGTGCATGTGTTAGAGGAATGGAGAAAATATCTCGTGTTCACACAGGCTCGTTTGACTTTTGGTGAGAGAAGGTCTCAGTAGACTGGTTAAGGTAGTAAAAATTGGAAAGGCTTGCATATTTACTTTAGCATTTGCAACCACTGGAATTCCAATCTGGAAATGACAATATTGAACTCAAAGTACAGGTAAAGTAACGTTACTTGTTAGATATGAATAGCGAAGTTTATAGAGGTATCTTCCCCCAACAACTCTGATAATAAATCTTCTCTTCTCTACCCAAGTGAGGTGAGTGCATGGTATTGTTCATGTGCATATCTGTTCAGTGTCGGCGATCAGGGTTGACATACGGTGGGGACTTGAAGTTGAGCGTTCGTATATCTGTAAATGGCTCAGCACTAGGGGTTCTGGATGTTCCATGTGGAGTGCTGCCTGTTATGGTCATGTCTCGGTCATGCAATTTATCATCTTTGCCACGTTCTCAGTTCCACTTGCATAGTGAAGAGATCAGGGAGATAGGTGGCTATTTCATTGTTCACGGGAAAGAGCGTGTCCTAAGACTTCTTATCATGGCGAGGCGGAACTATGTAAGCTTTCGTTTCTCACTTCTATATAAAACAGCCCTTGGCTATTTCTAGGCCGACTTTCAAGAAGCGTGGACATGGCTACACTGAGCGTGCCATTGTGATGAGATGTGTCAGGGAAGATGAATCAGTGTCGGTAAGTGCAGGAATTGTTGCTTTACGTTAGTTCCTAGCATTCTTTGCGAATTAAGTTGATTATTTACACAGTAGACTATCTACTTTTACTCCTTACTTGCGTAGTTTCTTTGAAAATGACAATGTTTTTATCGAGTCATGGCTAGTCATTAGCAGTAGTTCAAAACATATTGAGTTCAACCCTTTAGTCAAGGTGTTTTTTTTTTCGTTGGTGGTAGTATTACTATCTTTCATTTACAGTTGATTCTTGGCAGTGTTCATTTTTTTTAAACATGAATACGCTTATTTCCTCATATTCCATGCTTGAGTAGTGGACTGCTCACTTTTCTCTATACTAGATCTGTTAAAATCCAACAATACCAAGCCTTCTGTTGAATAGGGCTGTGATGCTTTTTTCAGTTACCGTTCATTCTTCTCAGAGCTTTAACATTGTGATCATGGGTTTTTGTCTCTCTCATATTTGCAAATGCTTGATAACTGTTGATGCTTTATGTCTCATAACACGTTCGGTTGCAGTAGTTTGAGCTGACCGGTTTATCTTTCCTGCACTGCGATTTTATAGTTTCGTATTGTAAGTATTTTGCATTTGGAACTGTCTTTTCGTTTTCTTCTTTGTTTCCTGCTGTATATTTATCGTCCTGTTAGCTCAGTGTGTAATATATGTATCTTCTATGCCTTTAAGTATCGTTGTTAGATCTTCATTTTACTGTGACTGTTAGTCAGTTATTTACCTCCTACAATCTGTAGCTGAATGTTTCTAAATAATCAGAAACTCCTGTGTAAGTTTTAATTCTTAGAACCCCGCATTTTGGTGCTGAATATCTTCCTTGTCTGACTCATTTTCCTCACCGGCTTGTGTCATATTTTCACTGCGCTTCTTCAGTTCCCGTATTGTTTCATGAGTGACAATCAATATTTACCTCATGTTTTCTACCCACATAAAGCTAGCACATCAGTACTACTTGTGTCGAACTCTAATTTGGTAGCCTGGACTTCTTTTAACCGTTGCCTAATTGGGATGTAGATATATATTTAATTATTTTTTTCATGATTGTTTCAAAACCCACATGTAGTGTTTTTAAAAAAACTAGGGTGCTTTCCTACTGCACCAGTTATAGACCATAGAAGGGCAAACGCAAGATAAAGCTTTCCTAATATAATCCTGATGTATATATGACGTGTTTGTTGACGCGTTTTCCATCTCTTTTGTTCAGTGCTCGATATCTCAACACTTTAACAAGCTGGTTTTTCATAACTTCGCCGTTTATCCTCAGTTGTTAACTGAAATTATTTGACTCATCTTACCATCGTGTAACCCACCCTCGGCTTTCGCCTTCAACTCGCACCTAGGACTGATCTTATGTATATTAAGAAACTTTTGCAGTGACAATAGTTTTTGGAACTTTTTAATTGAAGGACTTCTGCTGAATGTAAAGAAAGCAGAGATAAGTCAACATTTTTTTGTACGTATGCTATATCAATGAAATTTGTTGGCTTCTATATGTCTCATTTCATTCGCAAACATTTATTGTTGAACATATTTTATCTTGCTGTTGTTGTTCTGAAGTTTTCCTCCAAATAATTACTACGACGGTTAAATCTAGTAGACATATATACGCAGTTAGGAGACTTATGCTTAGCTCCTGACAGTTAGCCAAGAGACATTAATCGTTGATTGATTCTAGAGCACTTTCGAAACGTGGTGGTTGTGCCAAACTTAATGCCAGAACTACCCAGTGATAATTGGTATCAAAAATGACGTAATCCCATTGCGGAGTACCGTGACAGATATTGATCCTAATCTAGCTAAATATGCCCCATTAGCGTATGTGGGATATAAATATTTATGCTAGCTCTGAGGACTTAGATAAATGTGAATATTTGATCCAGTTCGTAGAAGAAAAAGTCACCAAAAGGATTGTCGTCTTATAATGGCTTGGTGTACAAATTTTCTGACCATGCCTCAGTACATCACTTGAAAAACTTATGCCTACAGGTATGCGACATTTTATTGGTCGAACATCATGTCAGATTAAGAAGAATTTCAAGTGATAACACTTGTTCACTTCTTTTCAAGTTAACTTGTGTCAGGCATGCTGAGCCCTTCCTAAAATCTGATAAGTCTATTACAGTGCATACTTTCTATGGGAGTGCTAAGGTTACTGAGGATTTACCACCTCTTCAACGTCGCACTCGCAAATTTCAGTAGGAACTTCCCCTAATAAGATGGAATTACGTTTTCTACTAATCCCACTTATAAACCAACAGATCGAAAAGTGGGCACTGGTCTAGTTGATTCATCCACGACCCCTACTTTTCAGCATCCCCTACGGATAAACAGTCAGGTGACAGTAGGCTCAGTTGATCTTGATTTCGCGAGAAAAAAATGTTATCATCCCAAGGAAATATCCTGGCACTGACTTAAATAGGGCCACAATAAAGATTAAATTTAATGATCCAGCTGTATCCACGTAAAGCTATATCCACAACTGTCTCTTCACTAAGACTCACTCAAGCAATACTGAGCCTATGAACTCACCTTACAATGCTTTCGTCTCAAAAGCTAATAGCTTGTCTTCCACGCAACCCAGTATGAAAATAGAAGGTCGACTAAAAGTTTCTCCGCGTCATGCTATTTTTCAGCCAAGGACAACCAATATTCTAACTATAAACACGTCAGTACATCTCTAGTGGTGTGTGCATGAACTTCAACATAGACCACCACCGTTATTTACCAACTACATTTCTCACAACTCTGATCAAACTGCTCCCCCCCCCCCACACACACACACACCTCCCACTACGTGCTGACAGTAGTCATTTCAATGAGTAGTAAACCTCCTTATCCTAAAGATAATAGGCAATCTCAAGCTAATTGCCAGATTAGGCCATTTCACTCAACATCCTATATCGAGAGACAAGGATCATTTAGTCTTGGCACAACTTACGCCTGAACCTACCTTTAATAACCATTATGATGATGCCAGTGTTTGCCAAAGCAGCATCACCGCACCTGGTAACAGAATCGTAAATCGTCTGTATGGAGAACCAATCATTCGATTGGTGGGCCTGGTCATCGTCAAATGTCTCCTCTGAATCCCCTTACAGTAAGTAAAAGTGGCCGCGATACTCAATCTACCACTGAATTTAACCACCATAGCTATGCAACAAGATTTCCTGAACCCATTAAATACTTACAAACCACGCAACATAATTTTCGGGGACTTCAAGAGTAAATAGCACGTCTAGCAAGTCAGGTGATTCAGTTGGTCTCCAGCCAAGAGTTGAACGTGATTACGAAATCCACCTCGATTTGAACGGCATGCCTCCTTTGCAACCTCCAGGCTAGCACCTATATCATACACTGATAGTGAAGCTGAGGGCATCTTGAACCATGACCCCAATGGACGTATGTTACCGAAGTACCACATGACCACAACACACTTGAATAACTCGATCTCTCCTCAGTCATCTGATACACTTAAAGTCGATGTTGGATCAGTCAATATGCCTAACTCACTGTTTCTTAATATTACCATCCCATAGCTCTTCCTTTGAACGTTAGCACCTGTCGGAGGGCAAGACTGGGATCGTTGCACCCCCGCCCAGCCCCATCCGAAACCTGCGTGGTCTTCTCAAGTTTGCTCTTCAAGAGCTCCAGTTAGGCGCCGGATAATTATAGACACTATGATCTTCGACATGGTATTAGTCAAACGAATTCCCCTATAGTTGTCACGAGAAGACTTCTGTCCCTTCTAATAAACTGGAATGATCCGTGAAGTACACCAGTCTAACGACACTACCTCTAATTTTCATACACTACTTAGTACCTCCGCCACACTAATCAACAATTCCCAACATCCATACTTGGAAACCTCAGGTGCCGAACTCTCACGTCCTGCTGCTTTGCTTCCTTTAAGATTCGACATTGCTTTCTCAATTTCAAAGAGAGTTGGGGGATCGACATCTATGTCCCGTTCAGCTTCAGGCTGGATGATGGGCAACTAAAGCATTACCACCTTTTTCTACAGCAGATTTAATATCACGCCAGGTTTCCTCAGTATGAGCATTGTTGTCACGTCCAGATAGATGCTTAGCTCACTCTTGCCTAAATACGCAACTCACGTTCTAATATTCGAACTGACTATAGTCAAACTTTACTGTCGCCTGTTTCCTGCGACCAGTAACACGCAAACATACACGGCGCCATATTAACGAGTAGTCCGAGTCCAAACTGGTACTCCAGAAACAGCGGGAATCCTCCAATGATGGATTATAGGAATATAATCTACCTGTGCCCACCATTGATTTGATTTCGGTGGACTCCATGTGAGACAGTTTCTCTCCTTATTCCTAAAGTTATTGCTGGCCAAAAAAACCCAAGTGATCATCAGAGCAAAATCACAACAGACGATCACCGTTGTCGGTTCGCTGGCAGTGGATTCTGTAGATACCTTCAATATGCTTTTTCGATTAGCTCTGTTCGCTTAATTGAGCGTTAAAGTCCCATACCATTATGACTTGGTTGAACTGTTTGCTCTCTGAAGCAAAGTTGACAGCTTCTCATAGAATTCATCCTTTGCATCATTCGAACTACAGTCGGTGGGTGCGTAGGTGGAAATTACGAATGTGCATCGCCTAGTCTCACGATCCTTATTAGTTCTTACAGATCCCTTCAGTCGAACAGCACGTAATCGTATATTTACTGGAAACCAGTCGAGTAGCGCACTTTCTGCTCTACAGCTCAATACTATGCCTACGTCAGCGAATCCACGAAAGCTGGTCATTGGGTCTTCCCATGTAAGTCGTGGTCAGTGCATTCTGCTACCTCATTCCCTATCCTTAAACTGAGAGTAGCCGCAGATCATTCCTAAACATAATTCTGCGTTTTGCAAGAACGAAACGCATACCAAAAGTCCTCAGATTGCTGCTCAAGGGGTTTTTAACACTTCGCATTTTGTTCGCATCTCCGAGTAGAACAATGTCGTGTTCGTACTCCAATTCAGCCAAATGGCTACCTGTGAGTCAGTCAGTCCCTATGAAGTCCGAGGCATTTAGGGTTACGTCCTTCAGTGCATCCGTTTAGAAGTTAAACAGGGACGGTGATAACAAGCAGTCTTCGTGGACTCCACTGTTTATCATCACTTTAACTGACAAACCTCCATAAACCCTAACACGGTTGTTTTACTTGGAGTAGAGGGCTTTGATTTACGTTTATGATTTTTTGGAACCCCCTTCACAGTCAGACACTCACAGCGCTTGTCGGTCGATAGACTCGAATTTCACCTCCTGGTCAAGAAATATGACAAATGTTGGTCGTCATTAAGTATGTCTATGTTCTGGAACCTGTCGAAGAGTGGAAGTCTTGTCGGCGCCCCTTCGTTCAGGTCTGATGCCTGCCTGGTTTTCTAATAATCTGAAATAGCTGTTGCGTATTACTAATACCGATGTCTTCTCCCTCTCTATTACTTTTACCACCCACCACAGTTCGTTGTCTTTACAGTGACTCTTGGTCAGATTATGATCCAACTGCTTTAGTTCCTCTAATGAGAACCATCTGGAGCGTCTCTTCTAGCATTAATCAGTTCGAATGAGTTTGTAGAAATCCACTGGCATTTGATCGTTTTTGGTGTAGATTACTGTCTATAGTTGCTTCTACAGCAGACTGGATATTACATCAGGCCTGACAAAGTATGGAATTCCCACCATGTACAGGTTAGTGTTTCATTATCTCCGTAAATACATACTTGACGTTCTCATCTAGTCGAGCGGTGAGAGATTTTACTGCTATCAGTTCACTGTGCACAGTAAGATGCATATACACACGTGTCTGTACTGATTCATGATCGGAGTCCCGAAGGATCGACAATTATCCACCAATCTTCTCCACTAATGGCTTATAGAAATATGATCTGTTTTTTCTCACTGCTAGTTTGCTATCTTACAGGATGCCAAATAAGATCATGTCCGTATATACTTGAAGTTAGTGCTGGCCAGAAACAAGTGACCGTCAAGACGAAACTGTAAGAAATTACTGTTTTTGGCAAGGGATATGGTAGTTTCCTCCAAGATGCCTTTCTGATTGACTCAGCTTCCTTTCTAGAACGTTGAAATATTGTTATAACAATGTTTTGCTTTGCTTAGAGAAAGTGACAGCTTTTAACGGAACTCATCCGAACTGCAGTTGGTTAGCGTGTTGGCGAATATTACGAATAGGCATCGGTAAGTGTCAGGATTCGTGCCAGTTCTTACCGATTTACTCAGTCAGATGGATTTCAGATGGCTGTCGACAAACACCGAGTCAGAGAGTGTGCTTTATGCCCTACAGCCTAATGCTTTACCTAAGCTGTCGAGTCCACGGGCACTCGTAAAGTGAATTTCACACACTAACTACACTGGTCAGATTAGATCAGATGAATGGCCGCACATGCATCCTGTATGCATGTCGCAGACGCATAGTACATCCATAGCCCAAGATTCTAGATTTTTGGCAAGAGACACCTATTGTCCGATATGGTATAGGGTTCGTACATTGGATGCTCCAATGTAAAATTGACAGCGAGTTGTAGGAGATGAGGGATAGTGTTTGGCTGGCTTTAATCTTAAGCAATGGCCGCAGTATGAGGACGCTATAAGAGCCCTAATATTAGTGTCGAGAAGTGAAAGCAAGGGAGTTGGCTAAGATAATGGAATGTGGATTGCAGCTGATTGGGTTTTGTAAACTCCTGGAAGCGTGTGGATGAGTAATACTTCTCGGTCACCCACACGGTGGAAGTTGTGAGAGGTACGTAAAAGGAAAAAAGGATTCTTTATAAAAACGGTTTCCATCAAGTCGTGAAATGTCGGAAATTTATTTTTCTACCTCTATGGGGTTTTAAAAATATGTTTCCTTCAGAAAAGGGAATGGTTTTGGGTGACCTCACAATTCATGGAATACCTAGTTGAAGCCGGTTACACTGCAATTTTATGATAGTTGAACTGGGATTTAATTGTGCTACGGCTAAGCTAAAGAAAGCCACAACACCGCCACTGGAAGACCACATGGCAGGGAGGGGTATGATGTTTTCGGTACTGACTTTTCTAATCATCTTTCCTCGTAGCGAAGGCATCGTTAGTATCGACTGTTGGTCATCTATGGGAAACACCTTACCACTACCACACCCCTTTTAACCTGAAGTACGACTACGCCCTCAGACACCCATCATGGCTTAAGCTATTTACACTTAGGTGACAACTGCTTTTTGTCTCCCCACCATCCAATGGATCTTTCAGGTACGGTAGGACCTCAAGGAACAATCATTTCTAACGGCATAGTCCTTTAGGTCATGATTATATGCCAACCCGATCACTACATCGAGCGAGCAGCTATCGGTCTTGTCATTATTCTTTTAACAAATGTGATTCTTTCAGAGAATGTATCGTCCAATGGTTAGCATTATTTCCGGTACTGGAGAGTTTTTGATTTCAACAATACCTTCATTCAAACTGCATCCTTAAAGAGACAGGTCGATATCTTAATGATAAAGACTATTTGATTAAAGTTGGGTATTTTGCGGATACCATAATAAACGCTACGTACGATTTAGTGGATTCTAGCTGTAAAACTAGAACTTCAGGTACACTCTCCACATCTACTGAAACTGGTGGTGATCTATTATGTTTAAATGCTAGGTTCAAATTCACTTATGAGTTCGAGTAATTGTCCTTCCGTCTTTACTGTTAACAGCCACCTCATAATTGTATTGGTTGGGTATTTTTTGGCTTTAAACACTTTGTAAGGGCTATTTCCCCCCGTTTTTTGTATCTTTTTGTTATGGTGGATTTTTATACGTGAACAAAGATGTGTACAGCTTTTGTAAATATTAAGGTTTCTCCGTCTTAGCTCAAAAAGTTCATCTGTTGTTTCACCTTTGTGCCCAACTAAGTGAGATCCCAACTTACACTAATAAGGATATATAAGCATGCCGTTTCTGTAATTTCCTACAACTTATTAGATTTCTGGTTGACCAGTTAATGTACTTCCTGTTTCACTTGCTATGACAAAAGATAGCATTTTCTCATTTTCATGTAACCGAGTTTTTGTTTTGTCTGGGAGTTTAGTAAAAGAGTTGACTGAAGGTTGGTACCCGTTTATGATGTATTTGGAATTTTTGTATGATTCTCTGGACATATTGATCAAGGACTTTCTATTTGGTAACATCATTGGTCAACATCGGGTGCTGAATCAACTCTGCAGTGGTTAGAGCCAGTAATACAATTATTTATTTAATGCATTGGGTTTTAAGATGTTTTTTTCCTTACATGACATCTGGTCATCTTTAATGGTATAAAGTACTTTTCCAATGGTCCTTCCCTTCACTTCTCATAACCAACATATGGAGCTGCTGTTCATTGGCTTAAACACTCGACTATAATGCAATAAATCCTGCCCTCACCTACTTCAGTCTAGGCAGCTGGTTGTTTGACCCATAGTTTGGTATATAAATTGGTAGTGGATGGAACTGATTTTTTAAATGATCGAAATATCTATGCAAATAACATTTTAATCTATTCTTTTTAAAACTTCTATAGTACATACATTTCGAAACAATTTTCATTTTAGATTTTGATGCTTCATTGGTTGGTGAATGGAGAACCAGCCTTAGCATTTATAGTGGAGCGCGAACAGTTTCTAGTCCCTGTCTCCATTATACTCCGAGTAAGTCTTCATGCTAGTTGTTTTAACGTTCTGTAATGGGTTACTTTCAAGGCATATTAAATAGTAGTTTCAGTATCACTCTTATCTATCACAGTGTTCTAAATGTCCCTAAATAACTAAGTCTACCTGATTTCATTTCATTTTCAGTAATGTTTCGGTCAGCGAAGTAACCACCTCCAATGCCCGGCGATGGCTGTGAAACATGGCCATTGAAGGTGGAAGACAATAGAAGGCTTCAGGTGTTTGACCACCGTTGCCTTTGTAGTATAGGCCGTATTCCGTGATGTCGCCACAAGATTAATGCAGAAGTCAGGCGTAAAGTTTTAGGGAGAAGAAATAAATCAATTGACACGGTTGTGAACCTTCATCGACTGAGATGGCTGGAACATGTATTACGTCTGCTTGGTCGCCGTCTGCTTCGTCACACAATGTTGGCCGAAGTAGATCAAGGCTGGAGAAAGGCCTGAGGTGGCCAGGCCAAAACATAACACCAATATATGAAGTCTTTGTTGGTTTGAGCCATGTAGGGCGATGCAGACTAGCCGGTTGGGGTCCGCAGGGAAAGAGAAACCAGTGATTGGAGACTAGGTGATATGGCTTAGAACCGATGTCAGTGGCGCAGATGTATACACACATTATCCCCATCTTGACGATGCTATGCCGAATCTCACCATTTTCTCATTATTTTAGTACTTTATATTTCTTTTGACTGAATTTTTTCTTCTTCATCTCTCACTTCAATGCCTTTTTACTTGGTGTACTGATGTGAGCTGTGGCAACTCAGACCGTTGCGCAGTAACGCCTGGTCCTATGTTGTTTGGATGCATGGATCGAATGTTTCGGTCCATTTACCACCAAATACTTTGAGTTAACTCAAAGTCTTCAAGTTTCAAAGCTTATGAATAACTCAATTGTGGAGTTTTCCACAGGAGTTTTTCTGCATTATCGCCTGTTTGCCATAATTTATAATCATTTTTTGTCAATTTTTTAATAGATGATTTGATAAATATAGCCATGTACCTCCTGATTCTCTGAGTTCGGTTTCTCAATCGAAGAAACTTTACCAGCTTAAAGTATGTAGACCTGCTACGCTTGTTAAGCAAGGGCTCTTACAATAAGCACCATCTAAAAACCTTACACGAAAATCTAAGAATGTTTGGGATACGTTTTGAATCGGTCAAAAAAGTAGTGCACCGAGATTGATCTTTGGCAAAATGCAATTTAAAATTAAAATACTATGGTTAAGTATTTTACGTACTTCACTTTTCGACATTTAAGTCTATGAGCTGGTGACTGGTAATGTTTTAACAATAATACACAACAATTGTGAATACTTGTCATTTATTGTTATGAAAAAGCTTTAATGCTTATCACAATACTAGTATACTGATAACCAATTCACTACCCTTCAAGTAACTGTTGGAATGTTACCGTTAGAAGCAGAAAGCTTGAGAGCGTATGAAAATGTGATTTCTGGGGGCTAGTCTCGATCACTCTCTCCCCAGTCTTCACGAAGAGAAATCCTCACATGACAATCACTGAGGTATCAGTTTGATAAACATTGTGTTTATTGTCCTAGCTTCTGTGACCACTAGGCGCCTAAATAAAACTGGTGAGCAGTAAACCTGAGAAAATAAGACAGGTTTCCAACCTGGTCGTTGGTCCATCGATCAGATCTTCACTCTTCATTAGATCTTGGAACACAGGCACATTTATTGTCACTAGAAACTAGCTGTATTTCTTTGCCTGAACACTACGATATACAGCTTCATCGATCGAGAGGTTTTATGTAGTGTCTCACTGGGAGGGGGGTATTGGGCAATGTGCATCACTATTTGAGGGCTTCGTATTCGAATGCTCGTGGGCTTTTTGGAGCCTATGGTGTGTTTTCTATGTCAAGAATGTCCACTTCTCTATTTTTATTTGATTTTTTCATAAACGTTTCCATGAAAATCTGCTTTTCCTAGTTTGACTAACAGAGATGAATCTTCAACGAAAAACTCAAATGGCCAAGAGTCGGCAGACGATATAATTTTGTTAGTTGAAGACACTAGTCAGCTGCAGTTTTCAAGATGCCTTGAGTAACAGAATGGTATTTTTCTCACCACCCTTGTGCTAATTTCAGATGCAAGACTAGTCAGTCTGCATTGATACTTTATCTTATGATAGGGAGTAACAGGGTTGACCGCTTCACTTACCCGAGAAGTCTTATCAGCCCTGATGGGTCACTGCACGGATACCAGAATGTTGATTGGCTTTTGACAACTTACACCGTCTGTGACGCTGATGAGATAGCCGATTACGTATTAAGAGTCGAGCGTACCGAGCAACCTTTCATGTCTCGCCTATGAAGCATGGTCATTAAAGGGGAAGAACTTGTGAAGGCTTCATGTGTTCAACCGCTGTTGCCTTCGCAGCACTGGCCATATGCCGTAGCATCACTGTCAGTAACATTGGAGTCATGCGTAGAGCTGTAGGTAGAAGGGGAAAGCCAGTTGATGTGGTTGTGAAAGTTCATTGACTCAGATGGTTATGACATGTGTTGTACATACCTAGTCAACGTGTTTTTCGTAAGAGGAATACTAACTGAAGTAAGAATAGGCTGAAAAAAGACTATAGTCAGTAGTACTAAAAAGGCACCAGTACATTAAGTTTATGTCTATTGGTTTGAGTTGCGTCAGGAAATGTAGACTTCCCAATAGCTTGAACTGTTAATCAGTATCGCCAAATCCAATTTCGATACTGAGTGACTTGAACAACCTTCAGTTTTTTCTGATTTTATGTGTTTGCGATACATTGCTTGCATTCGATGGAGTCACTGAGTAAGCAGTATTGTGGTTAGACGTTTAGTTTTAGATGTGGCGGTATCTGGGTTTCTGTTAGTCAATGGATTCAGTGTGTTGTGCTTAACGATTGAAGAATAAACTCATAAACCGTAGGGTAACTAAACAGAGGTTATGCATTAATCTATATATATTCTTTTTAGCCCTGAAAAAATTATTAACTTGCTCGTGTCTTCCAAGTAGTAGGAATTAAGGCTCAAATACCTTCAATAATGTGTTATAGATACATATGTTACACTTCGTCGTTGTGTATAACTTGCTCCTCGTATACTCACTTTCTCTATCTCTATATATGTCACTTGGTTTCAAGGTGGAATGCTTATCAGATGGGAACTCGTCATCAAAATCACAAATGAGAAAATACTGTTTCATTTAACCTCAGATGTACACATTTCTTACGCAAGAGTAGGATTTTCTGTTTTGAATTGTAACGCTGTATAACAGTAAAAAATTCCCCTGCTTTATTGAGCGTAAGATGTTTTGCTTCTGGAATTAGCTACATAAACACCAGGTAACCATTTGTCGATCACACGTCTATCTGTTTTCCACAAATGAAATAGTCCACCTTAGCTTAGAATCTTTTGTTTGAACACAAAGCCAAATTCACCAGATTTCTCGGAATACTTGTTTCTTGACCAGGTAATCAGTGGTGTCTTCACACTCATTTCTCTAATTCCTGATGATTGTGTTATCCACTTCATTGTGATTGATAATTGAGTGATGTTTTACTTTTTCAGCGTCACTCTTTTTCCTGTAACTAAACACATTTCAGATGAATTTCTGTTTATTCTTATGTACGTGTCTGCATGTTGCTTCCACTACTTACTATGATCTGCTGGGAGATGACATATCTGATATATTCACTTCCTTTCTCTTAGCTGTAATGCACAGAAGTACCATCTATCTTACTACATGATCGTAAAACATGAACAAATGTGGAGGACTTACCGATGTTTAAAAAATGCGAGTACCCTGAATCGTCATATATCTCCTACAGGTAGTGAGACTATCATGTGAGCAATGCGAGTATTAGGTAAAAAAGTAAATCAAACAATTCGATTAAGCATACCCATTGATTGAGGTAGTTGCTATTTATAACGTATACTCAGCCATCATCTACCCCAAAGCTTGCTGTTAGTAAGACTAGTTGGAAAAGAAGTCCAAGATTGACTTACGGAGGTATAGAACTAATATGTGAATTTTCTCGCCGTTGTTCTGAGTGATGCAGGGGAGTGTATACAATATTTTGAATGTTCAAAGAAGACTGAAATCGACAGTTCATTGTTTAAATAAGCATGCATCGAAGTCGATTATGTCTACACCTTCACTTTATCGAAATCTCACAAATCTTATTATCATGCGTACTCACCTCTCTTTCCTTGAGTCTTATATCTTTTTTAGCCGTTGATGTTCATATTTTTCTACCATTCCTCATGTGGCTCCTGGTTATGCTACTGTAGAATGTGGCAACTTAAAATGATGTACTCTTTTACTCGGGTTTATAATGTTGAAGTTTATCTTGATTTATAACATTTTTTACTAGTTCTGCTCATGTCAGCAACATTGTGGGACAGTTGTAGGTATATGCATTACCTTTATTTCTCAAGTTGGTATTCATTATGGACTGACATAAACTGGAGAGACGTTGGAAACCTAGGAACGCTGGATAGCTATTTCGTCCTAGTATGGTACTCCTCAGCTGTGCGCACCGATGACCCCACAAGAGTTTTCTTTTTTTCCTTTCAGTATTCATATCATTTTTACCGTGATTTATTCATATGTATTAACTCAGTTAATGTAGACATGTAATCGTCGACCATAAGAGGGTTGGAACTCACTTTTTCAAGTTTACAAAGTGGGGATTACCGTTGGTATTCATAATTGTCATTCTTCACCGTCTTACATGGAGACTTTTAGCTGTTTATTTATTTATATTTAGTTTTTGTTCCGCGTGGCTTTCATCGTCACTATGCGCACTCATTTGTACTACTGGCAACTTGTGATAGTAGTACGAGATCCGAATATCTATTCTATTCTGATTTTGTGGTTAGAAATGTCTTTATTTACAGCAGTGTTGTTGGTGATTCATAATCCTAAGAATTCACCAATAATTTGCCTCCACAACTACTTAATCAGTACAGAACTTGCTCACTGACGTGTCGATGTACTTTGACATAATGTCAAGCAATATTGTGCAAAAATCCTCATCAACTAAGTGGAGTAATAGAATTAATCAGAATTCAAACGTTGGAAGACGATGAATAAGTAGTAACTTAATTGTAAATATTGGTAAATGTGTCACAGTCGGTTTTGGGGTTTGCTGCCGTTGTCCATAATAACTGCTTATTACTGTTTCAAAGCTTCTAGGGCAGCGACCTACAGATCTGTAGGCAATGTGAATTAATTTTCAGCTCTTACATGAATTAGATTTGTGCTTTGGTGTGACCACTTTATGACATCATTTACTCTACTACTACTTCCTTGAACATAACAAGTGCAGAAAGACCCCACTTTAAAATGTTTAACTTCCCCCCCCCACCTGAATACTTTGGTGCAGATTCATAGTCACATCGATTGATTTACCTCAGTTTTGTTATGTTCTATTGTGTTATAAATTTTTTTTTGGAAGTTGCGTTGATCATATGAATCGGAGTTACATGGGCAGCTTTTGTTCTTTGAAATCTACTTAAATTTTCACACAAATAGTTCGACAAGTCCATGTGTGATCAGATTGTTCGAAATGTGTAGCGTTAATATATCACATGTTTCAGATAATCTTCGTCTTCTCATTACGCTGTTTAAATTTATCAAAGGGACTAGTTGCTTTAAACTGATACATGTGTTTGATGGAGTAATAACCATTCTCTATGTATTTCCTATATACTCCAGGCTTTAGTCAAGAAAACTGAGTTCGAAATTTTCGATGATATTCGACGTGGCAGTGGAGAGTCCCTCTCTCTTGAAGAGTATGTTTGTAAATTATTTTCCTAAGTTTGTCGATTTTAATTGTTTAGTAGGACGTTTTTCTCAATGTACCTTTCCCTAAAACTGTAATGGTGCAGATCATAAGAGTCTACACTGAAATTTCAACCAGATAATTACAAACTCTAAAACTTGCTCAATTTACCGGTCCTCTGATAGTTGATATTGCTCATAACGCAGTATATAAAATATGGTTTGCTACTAGCCTATATTTAAGACTAGAAGTAAGTTTTATACTTCGTAAGGTGAGAGCTTATTCATCGTAGCTTGTATCTGTAAAAAATCGTATAACCTGGTTAACTATTGAAAAGTCTACTGAAAAGCTGAAGTAAACATATGCTAACAAACGAAGTCCTCTCTTGTTGCTTTGACTTTGAATATGTTTACATCATATCACTCGTCTTCAATCTCGTATAAATAAGTTATACTGCTCAAAGAAATCACCTATTGGATTGTGTGGTGAGAAACAGAAAGATTCGGTATAAATTCTTGAGTGAAACAAGCAAATCAATTGATGAGAAGAAAAAAATTTCAGCATGTATGTATTTTAATCAAAGTTTCATCATGTTCAACCTTTAAATACAATATTTTTGCATTCGAAGTGTACACAGATCAAATGATTGCATAAATATGAAGAATTATAGTTAAGTGAACATTTGGTTAATTTTCAGGATTAAAATTGCGTACTGGTTTCTTTTATTTTACAACTGGGTAATTGGGTATTAAGGGGTTATCGTGCAAATCAATAATTCGGGTTAAGACAGGAGATGAATCTGTGGAGAATAAAAACGTCAATCGAAACCGATGTGTACTCACCAACCCTGTGCACATTCATGCAGTAGCCAGTGGTCCACACCTATTATCTGAGGGCTAATGATACTACCCTGCTTCCCGAACCTCAGTAGGTGGGATGGGGACCCACGAGTTGAAAGTCAACTCCCTAAACCAATGAACCACAACCACACGTCAATCCATGGTTATTAGTGAAAGACAAGGAACAGCTATGGATGTAATAAATTATGCTTAAAAATTTAAGTACAAAAATCATGCTGATAAAAAGTAGTTCACATAAACCTATGAATTTCGCTGGGATACTTTGTATGTGAAATCCGAGATAATAGGAGTCTATAGATGAGCACAGGGATGTACTAGCTTTTTATGAACACAGTTCTGGTTTCATTATCTTGTTGGTAATATTTCCAGCTTTTTGTTTATCTTCTCATCGACACAACAAGGACATTTCATTTACTTGAGTCAATTGACGACGTTTTAAACCATTGTTCATTGAAGTGATAGACACTTCTTACACAAACCAAGTCATCGCCTATCTCAGCACACTGTTGTTTGAGGTAGGTTTATGTAGTAAAAATGCTGATGCTGGCTTGGTATCAGTTCATGAAGTTACTAACTGTTGAACGGACGCATATGCGGAAATGTACATCTTCAAGTTGAGGTCTACGTGACAAAGTAAACCGATGATTTGAGATGCAGTGGTGCAGACGCACTCATTCTGTATCTTTTTTAGAAGACAACATAGAAGAGCACTGATGAAATGCTTTATCGGGAAATTACACTGAATACTGGTTGCATAATAAAATAAATAATTCAGCGGAGTTCATACAAATGGTCTTTGCACTCTACATTCATGATGCATTAAACCTCGGACTTTATTACCTTGTAGTTTGTCTTCTGCATTTCCTCACTATATTTTTTGTTCCCTTCTCCAGAACCTCTCCCAATCAGATGATAATTCTATTTACTTTTTCCAAGGACATGGTTCTATATAATACCTACATGTGTTCGTATGAATAACACACCACACCTTCATCGTAACCGATAGGTAGCATTTCATTGTTAGTTTTAATCTTTCATCTTTCTACGACTTTTGACAACATTATTTTACGAATGCTGTCCTTTTGTTCTATTTTCTTGTACTTTGTTGTGAGATTCGTCAATGTTGACCATCGTATAGGAATTCCAGATGTCATTTTGATATTTACTGATGGAATATTTTGTTTGGTAGGCTGAGCCACACCTATTGTGAGTGAGTTATGGATACTGATTGGTTGGAAGTAGATTTATGAACAAGTAAAATAGCAATTCCATAAAGCTTTTCTTATTTCTTGCATAATTTCACCCTGAACGTTTCTGCTGATTTTTATCATATCGTAAAAATGTATTACAAGATAATTTCTCTTGAATAACTATCTTTAAAAAATTCATCCTAGGAATGCTATGCGGATTCTTATGCGTCTGAAAGATGAAGAATATAGTTCACCGACTCGAGCTTTATGTTATTTAGGTGGGCTATTCCGCAAACGAATGGATGTTCCTGATCGATTGTCAGACGAAGAAGCTGGAAATTTCTCCTCAGGTATATCTCACTATCCATTTCTTTTTTCCTGAATGAAAAACATATCTGTCGTTAGTTCATAATAACTCAGTAACTGATCCTGGTGATTATAAGATCTGTTCATTATTACTGTTTATTGATTGATACCAGTATTCACGAACTAAACGGTATCCCGAAACCTATTCTTTGGTATAATGATACGATGTTAGTTTCTGTGGAACATAACTTGACTATGTACTATCTAGGTAATAGATAGTGTAAGATTTGTTGTAGCAGTCTCGTACTATCCAGCTTTTCACTTTCATTGAAAGTTTGCTTCGAAACTTGAAATTTACAACAATCAGCGTTCCACTAGCTTGTTACTACTTTTGCACTATACATCTGACATTCGACCAGTTAGTCATCAGTTCGTATGCCAGTCGATCCGTCGGAGATTAAGCAATCAGCTAGAGTTTTACAAGTTTCACACAATTTGTGTGATTAATAGCCTAGTGAATAGACCTATAATTGGACTGTATTGCTTTGAGTTACAAGCATTCGTCAATTTTTAGATTGCTGAAACGTATAAGCACATAAATTTTATTGAAGTGAAAACAAGAATACTCAGTGACCCAAGCATTGATATCAGCCTATAAGTCGTTGCATTGGATTCCAGGGAAATTCATATGCAACACTATCCTTTAGTGTTTTCCTTTGTACTACCTTCCTTGCATACCATATCTCTATTCTGTATTTGTATACAGAGTGTTATTTGAGTTGTTTTGTAGCTGAGTAATATTCTAAAAAGTATATTCCGAACCTTGGAATTAATATTGTATCATTTTGTTTCGGATCGAAAACACATTCAACTGTTATACTAAGTAAAAAAGTTCCTATGGGCTGTTTGAAAATCATTTTTTTCGTAGTTCTTAAGCAAAACTTAGTGCCTGTTATTGGCTTGACATTTTTTACACAATCATTTGCAACTAACGAATAAACGAATGTAATACGGAATTAGATTTCAGAACTGTTTGGCTACGCATACATCATATTTTCATCCTCCGACAGGTTCTGGAATACAAGCATACTTACCGTCGACCGAAACTTGCCTTATGTCTTGAGCTGAAGATAGCACTAGACTCAGTCAACTGTGAGTTGTTTTGGCAGTGTCTAACTGTAAAGAGAGTAGCGAGCAAGTATATAACGCTTATCAGAGCCCTCTATTGGAACTCACGTAGCCGTATAATGGCTTACGATGAGTTATCATGTGAAATGACGTCAACCAGTGATGTCCGCCAAGAATGTCCGCTGTCACCGTTCCTGGTTAACTAATGGGCTAATGTACATAACGTTAGGTAAGTCTGACTTCTCAGGGATTTTCCTGTTTTCTAAAGGACATCTGGTTAACCTGGAGTATGGAGACGATGTTCTCCTGCTGGGTGTAAACGCTGACAAAATGCAGAGTCTTCTGGACACCAAGCAGATATCTGTGTATGTTTGGCATGGGTTTTACTCGCACCTGTGAAATGTAAAATGATACTCCAGAACTGGTCTCCAACGACTCCCACTTTAGTAGTAAGGAGTGAAGTGGTCTAGTGTATCGACTGCTTTACTTATTTAGGAAGTTGCATCAACTCGAACAAGCTAGTTGCTAACGTGATCTCAGGTCACATAGAGAAGGCCTATTTGGTATTTGCCAACTTGCGTCATCTCTAGTGCCGACTGGCGAGATATCCGACTATCTGTCAAAGGACGAGTACACCACACGGCATTTCGTTGTTCCCTGTTATACGACTGAGACATGGTTGCTAAGACTAGACGATGTGAAGCGCTTGCAGGGTTTGATCATAGATATCTTCGTAGCATTGCTTGCGTTTGGTGGAATTACCATGTGAGCAATGCTGAGGTCAGGTGAAGGGTACTAAGCAAGATAAGCTGTTCGATTGTTGAGGTTATGAACCGTAGTCGATAGAGGTGGCTTGGACATGTACTGAGCATGCCGAGCCACCACCTTCGATGTGCCATGCTATGGGAGGTTGGAAGAGTATTCAGGCTGGCCAAACCAAGACCCGGCACCAGTCGATGAAGTTTCTCACTGTTGGTCTGAGACCTGTTGGGAGATGTAGACTGTCTGGTTGGCGTCTCTGAGACGAAGGCAATCAGTGGTTGAGGACTGTTTGTTACATGGCTAAAAATCGGTCACAATTGCGTAGATATATTCACTCATGAGCATGAAAACCTTGAATGTTTGCACGAACCTTTATCTTCAGATTGTTTATTCTCCCACACTACTTTATCCACTTTGATATCACTGTTTTTCTATGCGCCTGTTCTTTATGTACTTCGGCAAAGTGTTGCAACTTGAGGCTATTGACGTGTAAGTTTCTGCATTGGTTTTATTAGTCAGGCTCGAGATTCAAAGAATTCCAACAAAATCAATATGGTTTTTCAACCGAGTACACGGGTCATTATTGACTGAAATTTACAATATAACAATTAACTTTCGTGAATTTTTCAAATATCATTTTCATATTTTAATCCTCATACACCTATTTTAATTTTCAGGGAATACATTGCAATTCATTTGTCATCATTTTCAGATAAGTATCATATACTCTGGTAAGTTAAATAGTCTACTATCATTTTTTGACAATAGACTAATTTAGAATAAGTAAATTATAACCTGACAGTAGTTTGTTCCTTATCTATACTAGTGTTGGTGCCGACAACTTATAAAATGAACTCTATAAAAGGTGCCATAACGGTAAGTTATCACGACAGACAGCACAGTTAGTTAGAATAAACTCATATTGGTTGTTTGGCATTTTGGAAGGGTTCGGATACTCTTTAACAGTGATCGCCTACTACAACTGTGCTCAAACAACCATTTGTTTCAAGCCAACACAAACTTCAGACGTAAAGGGCGATATTTCCTGACATATGGTGTCCACTGAGTTCAACTCAGCAGTGAACATTGGTAGACCACCTTGCTATCAGTCACCGCTGGAAAGAGTCGATGAAAGACTGCCGTTCTTACTCGAGCACGTGTTTGGACGGCGATCACGCGTTAGTTCAAGCCCTTGTATATTTACGTCTCAATGGACATAGACAAACTCTAGCTGCAAGAGAATTGCGAGTGCAGTTCGACAACGAGAGCACTAAAATTGCTCCCAGTGAAAAGCTAGCTCGACAGTTGCCGGAACTGAACAGTATCACTCATCCGGACGAAGCTTGACACCATCTCCAGTCTGCTGTTAAGACCGTAGTTGGCTCTTGTAGTGGTTACAAAGAGCTATCGGATATTAGCAGCTTACTTCTGATTTATGGATGCATGCGGACGCATCTCTATAGCCTCCGAACACAATGAGAAGCGAATGGGACTAAAATGTAGATTGAAAAAAAGTCTATGCGATGACCGTGAACAGTGCGGGTAACGAAGGCTTGTGAGATTGAAAAAGCAGTGGCGATAGCCAACAATGGACAGTTATTTAAACTTATTAGGGTAACCGAAGCGAAAACGGTCAATGGTTAGTGAGAGGATTGAAGCGAAGGATGAATCTGCGATTCACTCGCGTTTAAAAAGGAAAGAAGACTGGAACGATGAGCGAAGCACTTTGAGGGACAGTTCGAATGACTTCCAGCTACTATTTGCCTGCCCATTATCCAGTCGGAGCCTGAACGGTACATCGGGGTGGGAGCTCAACACTCGTATAAATCGAGAAGGCGGCAGGTAACCTGAAAAGAAAAACAGCAGGAGGATCAAACTGACTAGTTCTTGAGGTATTTAAGGACGATGGTTAAGGATTTTTAGTCTAGCTAACTAGCGCCAACTGTTGTGTTAGAGTCAAATGGGATCCTCTTTGATTTATCTCATTCATTGATTGTCTGAGTGTTCAGGAAAGGCGAAAAGTCCGATGAATATAGTGAATATAGTTTTATAATCACTAAACGTCTGAGTGCAGCTTGGAAGCAGCAAACCCGAGAAAGTCAGGCAGTCTTCAAACCTGGTCGTGGGTGTAACGACCAGATATTTACACTCTACCAGGTTCTGAAACTGGCTCTATTTCTCGACCTGAATGCGACATTCCATTCTGTTGATCAAGGGGTCTGTCTTATGGTGGTGTCTCCTATTGAAAGGGGTATCGAATAAGTACATCACTCCGTTGAAGGCTCTTTATTCGAACATCTATAAGTGTGTTGGAGCCTATGGTTAGTTATCAGGTGAGCTGTGTACGTCGATTGGTTCCCGTCAAGAATGTTCACTCTCTCCATTCCCATCCACTTATCACAGGCTTTCTGTTGAGGTTTCCCTCTCGTCACTGCAGACTTGCTGGTTGGAGTTTACGCGAAACCAGTGCTTGTAGACTCTTGGGTGATGTGACTCAGAATCAATGTCAGTGGCGCATATATGATCATACATCATCTCCATGCTAATCGTATGCTGAATTCAATATTGTCTTATTCTTCTTTCCTCTCTTTTACTGCCTTCTACTGCTTTTGACTGATTCTTTATTTTTTTATCTTTCATCACTTTGTCATTTCATGTGCTGATATGAGGTGTGGCACCTCAGACCGTTAGGCACTAATGCCTGGTCCTATGTATATGATGATGATGATGATGATGATGATTGATTTGTAAGGATGATCAGCGCGGAGGATTCTGAAATTTATAGTGCCTATCAATGTCTAGCTGTCTAGTTTACTTTTAGGGTCACTACGCTAGGCTATACAACATTTTGGTTCACTCTTTTTTTCTAGGTATCTGGAGTTCATCGACAAGAAACCCTAGATTTATGCTTGTTGGTATGCATCAGTTAAGTGTTTATGGAGCCTAAATGAGACTTACGTGCCGTCAAAGATTTGAAATTTGTTTATCAACGCTTTCATAGTGTAACCGATGTTTAATAAAATTTCATACGTTTACTTCCCTGAATGAACTTGAAGATAAGAATAGTATTTCCAAGTTCTGAAGCCCTTACAAAGTTTGCTGATTTGGCTTTGGTAGTTTGATTAGTTTTCCTTCTCTCTCCGTAATCATGTTGATAGGTTATGTAAATAGCACATCCATTTGCTTTACGTTTACACCAAATGGCTAGTATCTGAAACTAAATCGTCGTTGTACAGTGGCTTGAACCGGCGCACCTCTGTGTCAGGTTATGTGATTTTGTCTGTTTTTCCGAATCAATGTTGGGTAGGCTGTTTCATCTACAAGTAATTGTGAACCTTCATGATCCTCTGTACCATATAAACAGCCTTTATAATGTCAAAGATTCGCGTTTCTAAGTTTTAATAATTGTGTTATATCACATCTTAGTTGTTGGCGTTACTCTTGTTACTGCTATTGCATGGCACCAAATTTTTACCCAGATGTTTGAGATTCTCACAATAACAATGAATTTATCATCCGTAGGTTATTTACATAGAAAATGTTTTTTTAAATCTCCAAGTAGTAGATTACGGATATCAGGGATATCTTTAAGATCCTCTTTTTTCTAACCGATTTGACTTTTATTATCCCCTTTTGATACTTTTTTTCTTTGAATAGCTTTATGATTAAGAAGCTACATGCGTTTGTCTCTGGTTTTTGCTGTGAAGAAAGCAATGATAATCCAATGTTCCAAGAGGTTTTACTTCCTTCTACCTTGTATCTGCAGGTGTTACGTGTAAGTTGGATTATACTGTTTGGTGATTTATTTACCCCGCAGAAAATCATAATATGTTTGCTGCACTAGATGGTAGTTATCTTTTCTAAACACATCTCTCCCACAATTCCCAACTGTGACTGAATGGTTAACACCTTCACCGTGAAACCTAAAGGTTCTGAGTTCGACCCCTAGCTGAGTTGTGAGTACGTACTGCTGGTAAGTCCCATACTTGAACAAAACCACTTTCAATGGTTCTCCAACTAATATCAACCTTTGATGTGAATACTCCAATCGAGAAAGTGTCTGCAAGTATTTTTTTAACTGGTAATCTTCTACAAAGATTGGGTATTTTAGTTTCAATTAAATTTGAATTAGAAGTATGATGATTAAATAGAGTTTTTAAAATTTTCTTTTTGTATCACTCATGAAATGGTGCATATGATAAACTAACATGTCAGCACCCATGGTATCAATAGGGAAAGCCTTTTCAAATTTAATTTCACTATTTTAAAACAATAGATTTTTGAACGTGTTAAAAATATTCAGTTTCATAAAGATATAAACTGCATAAAAGTACATGAAAAATTCTATATATTTTATGTTTATTATCGAGTTTTATGTAATCTTTCTTGGTTGTATCTAAGTTGTGCCTGGCTTGTGGTATATTTAATTGTTGACTTATTTAGTTGAACCATTTCTTTCATTTTCTAGAATTGCTACAATTTAACTGTGTTTCTTTTCTTCTGCTAGTCCTTCTGACTTGTTCCATAGATTGTGGATTTTTGACTATAGTTTCTCTTGATTCAGTTGAGTTGCATTCAAATCTTGTGTGTGAATATCTTATGTGTTTGTGTGTTTTTTAAGATAAGGGAATAATTACCTAAGGTGATGAACATCTTATCGGGTTTTGTGTTGAGTGTTTCAATAAACGTTATGAGTTGCAATGATAATTCCCGACATCTTTATCTGAACTGTTTAGATAATATATTCTGCATGATGGTTCGATAAAATGACTGATTTTGATCGGAGTTGATTAAATGAAATCAAGGTTATCGAAGTTCATCATTATTGTGAACTATAGCTGTTTTTTTCAGCGACATTGAAATCATTGGTGATAACGATTTGATCTTTGATTCAATATGTGAACCAGTGTCTGTTATGTTTAGTAGCAGGCTATAGTTAGTTTGTTATGGAATGTAACAACCATTTTAGGATCTCGTGAATAACTTCTTTAAAACATGGTTATAACTATGGTGAATCACGAAATAATACTGTTTCTCTTCTCAGGGTGTATGTGGCTGGATTTGCAACAGTTTCTGCCTTTTCCAAGCATTTCAATCAGTTGTAAAGTACTTTTTGTTACTGGTATCGTTCCAAATTTAGTTGGACTTGGTGATTTTCTAACAGCAACTTCCAGTAGTAATATTCTAACGTCTATGAAACACCAAACTTGTTCCCGCTAGTTCGTTCAGTGAATAGTCAATTCTCAAGGTCACTCTGTCGGAATAAATGCATTCAGCTTCTTCCCACTTAGTTGTGCTCTTCTTTGCTTAGCGCTTAGGTTAGAAATCAGATTGAAGTATCCAGAGATTGATTCATTGTATTAATGTTCAACTAACTAATCTCGAAATGTTGTACATTCTCGAATCTGAATCAGTTACCGCGGTAAGCATGGCTCCATAGCCTAATTCACAATCGTTTGATAGATTGCTGAGTTGCATTTTTATGATACTTATTTCTTTTTTATTGCCAAAAATGCACTCTAAGCATTTCAGCAGTTAAAGACCTTCCTCTGTCCTTTCTATATAAATCTTGACTGAATTCTCCAGTAATCTTCTGGTTACCGTAGTCAAGGAATAGTCAATCTGAGGAATTACAAGTCCTGGTGTCCAGATGAAGTGGTCTTTTCGAACATCCTCCTTATCAGCAATCTGTCAAGATATTAGCAACTTTGATGATCCATATCTCACAGCAGTATAGTGTTGGTTTCAACGCTGTTTACGCTCATCTTGTTATTTGCCTAACCTTACTTATTTATAATTCCTGATTAGCTCGTTTAGATGGTTTCTTGTTTTTGAAATGGTGTAACACAACTGCGCTCTGTTTATACTTACTAGCCTATAAGCTACACCTATTGTATGAGGGTTCATCTGGCTCTGTGGCTCATTGGTTTAGGGTCCGAACACCGCTCCACTTACCGAGGTTTGAGCAACCATCTGGCCTCACAATAGGTGTGGCTCATTGGCTACTGCACGCATGTACATAAGGTTGATGAAAGCATTTCTTCTACATGAAGGTTTATGATACTCTGTGGTTGTTTAGGGTGAACTAGATATAGTGCGGTTTGAGAACCATTTGGCAAAAACAAGCCATATCCGTTGCTTTTGACACCTTTCTTGACCTATATTTACACTTGGTTTTCATTTTAGGCAAAAATATCACATTTCCTAGCCGGTGTGAAAGAACAGATATTGTTAAAAATTCGCAAACAAAATGTTCGTACTTCCTTGTGTAAGTTGCTTGAACGCGTTTTTGGGTGTTGAAATATATATATATATATATATATATATATATATATATATATATATATATATATATATATATATATATATATATATATATATATATATATATAACATTCTAAAACTCTTCCTTTATTTCATTCTACGAAAACCTCTTAACTGTTTCATTTGATGTTTTAAGTTTAAAATATTAATTCTGTCATGTGAACGCTAAGTCAACAGAAGAAATATGACCCATGTGAAACTTTGTTGTGTTTGTACTTCTTTAAGCAATACGGTAGGAAGATCTATAATCTGAACTTCATGTTTACCAATATCTAAACGTGCGTAGATTTTGAATGCTTATCGACTTGGGTTTCGGTAGTTACAACAGTCAGGTTGGTTCGTTGGTAATTCTTACTATAGACTATCGTCTGCTACGACCGGTAGTATGACCGAACAGCCTACGAGCGACACAAGCCTAGCAGACCACAAATGATACGAACCTAACGCGCAAACGGATCGATTCCAGCGCAAATCAAAACGCCAACCACCGACGTGCGAAGCCAAGAAGAGAAGACAGACCGTTGGCAGGGAGCTTCATACTGTCTCAACAATAGTCAGTACAGTTGACAGCGAGGCTGAATATGTACATTTCTAAATGACCTTGACAACACTGAATCCACATATAAGTGAAAATAGCTAACAAACAATGAGAGTTCAACCTTGAGATCAGAGAGAAGAAAAACTATTAACGGTGTAAAAACAGCCATGTATGTTATTTTAAGGTCATGGGCAAAGCAGCAGACAAAAGCTGTGCAAAATTGGGGGTATATAGCATCGCTCTAAGTATTTAAATGATTAACATTCGTATACAGTCGAATAAGACTGTATTTGCTGAAATCTCCTATCCTGTTGTTGAATGTAACATGTGAAAGTCTATGTGTCAAACTTTCCCTTTGCACTGATAGTGTAGTGGGCGTTGCTGATAACAATGGATATAAGTAGTATATGTTGAGAGGGTGGCAGGAATCATAGGAAATTACCAGCAATGGGTAAGCTTTCTGCCTAGAGCAATGCAAGGGATAACGCAGGCGTATTACAGTGGATGCTGCTGATAAGAATGTATGAAGAGCAAATCAAGAGAGAAATAGAAGAGGATACGAAGCACATTTGCAAATGACAGATTTAGTGCCAGGTGTACCATATGTAACGACTACCGTTCCAATTGTCTGTCTTCTGTCTCTCCATTAGTTCTGTCAGGTCTAGTAGACTGATGTAATGTTATTTATTTATTTTGTCACTTCGATCTTTTGATTTGTAAACCGTTGCTAAAAGCTGATTTAGCTGTTCTTTTTGTTCTATTCATTGTTGTGAGGGTATTACTAGGTAGGCTAGTCCAATATTGCGATGTAATAAACACCTTTTCTTAAATACCGATGAGTTGTTGATATATCTAACTTTGAAAACCTATCATTGTTTATTGTTGTTACTTAGATCATCGTTAAGTTTGCTTATCAATTTCCTACAGAATCATTCAAAGCCTTTCGCTAAAGTCCAGCATTAATAGATTGATTGGTCGTTGGAAAGTAACCAATCTGACGTTGACTAGTCCTGAATGCCGACCGAATTCTATCGATCATTTTGCAATGTGCCCACCAAACTGTAACTTGGTGATGAGCGCCAAAAAGCACAAAATCTAGATCCAGTGCTTCCCACTGATCGCCTCTAACCACCTGACATCTATCGAAGTGCGCTGCAGTGGTTAGCCTCTTAGCTTCGTGGCCGCAATACAAAATGATCGATAGAATCCAGTCAGCACTCAGAACTAGACAACATGAGATTGGCTGCTATCAAGTGATCAGTCAATGTCTGTAATCCAGTCCTACAGGGGGTCAGTCGCGAGTCGAATAGCTCACTGTTAACATCACTAGGTGAAGTGGGTTCGAATCCTACGGGGGATATCAGTTCCTTAGAGGTTGCAGATACGCCTTGCTGATGAGTGTCAACAAGCACGAAACATGCGTCCAGAGCTTCCTATCGATTGCCTGTGACCAATTAACCTCGCATTATTAGTTGGGTAAGAATGCGTACTGTTTGCTGACCTCCCCACTACTTTCTTTGACAAGTGGATACCGCTAGTATTACCATAACTTATCGGACTAGGATGATCGGTCAACCTTCTTATTTCAACAACAGAAATTTGTGGGATTCTGTGGCAAATTGATCACAGTTTTTATTTCTGTGTATCAATTTATAATTGTTATATTTTGCGTTGTGTTTTGATCAGTTAACAAGTCAAACATAATCTTCTGTTCATGTTCTAGCTTTATTCCATCAAGCTCTCTTATCTCGGGCATCTGATATAACTACAGCAATGGTATATATGATTTCCACCGGTAATCTTCCACCTTCTTGCAAGTCTAATCTTTCTGCTCAGCTTAATGGTCAGTCAACTGGTTTAAGTGTACCTGCAGATAATGTGAATTTCTTACGTTTTGCTGCACAGTTTCGAGCAGTTCATCGTGGCGCCTTCTTTACTGAAATGCGTACTACTTCTGTGCGTCGTTTACTACCTGAGGCATGGGGTTTTTTTTGTCCTGTTCACACCCCTGATGGTACACCATGTGGTCTTTTAAATCATTTAGCTGAACCTGTGGAGGTAAGTTTGATTCCATAAAGATTTTCTCATGTTAGTATTTAATTTTTTTAAATGTGTGAACTGTACTGGCTATCTGTCAGTAATTCAGGGTACCAATTTATATTAGGTAAATAACTTGTAAAATAGCAGTCTGTAGTTTAGTCGTCTACAGAAATCGTATTCCTGCCTAGAAATGACTTTTTTACTCGTAATATGTCGGAAGGCTTTAGTTTCTGGTTATGTAATTACCAATAGCCTCATGGTATCACTCGCATTTGGGTCAGTTCAGGTGTGGGGTAGACATGGTAAATCAGTTGGTGAAGTTCTAGAACTGCATAAGTCACAAGGGTTAAAAATCGATAGCACTGCTGAGTGGAGTAGGCAAAAAATAAACGAGCCTTGATGAAAATGGATCAAGAATGAGATTCGCCATCGAGATATTTCACTATCACTCAGACAACGAGAAACCATTAATCTCTTCTGTACTGTGTTCCCAAAGTAGTTAAAATAGATTTTGATAAATTTTAATTGTCTCCCTTGTATTTATTTACCACCTTCATCTTATTTTGAGGCTCCTCAACGGCGAATACCCACGACTACGAATGGAAATTCGCCCACCACGAGTTATAGGTTCAATTCGTCAGAGAGTCGTTGGTCCCCACTGCTAAGAGGTCCCAAGCTAGGATGGAACATACTTCCAACATCTTCAGGTTCGTCAGCTGATTTAACGTAGTAATGAAAACTATTACAAGAATAGTTTTTATCGGGAAAAAAACAAATGAACAATGAGTGATATCTGGTAGTGTTTTGCATTCTGTGTTCATAATCTGTCTATAATGCTGCTTTTGAGCTTCAATAACCTGACTACATCAATTAGCGTTGGTTGGCAAACTGATTTTAAGAGGGTAATGATTAAAGTTGAAAAAAAGCTGATTGGCAGTAAGATTTCAACGAGTGTTCGCTGAATTCACTAGTCTGATAGTGTACTGACTTAACTATCGGAATTAATTCCAGATTACTTGAATTACATAGAATTTTGCTTGACCATCATTTCAGATGGATTAATTAATTTTTTTACTTCTCCTTCCTGTCATCCACTTTTTTTATTTCTGTCATATCATGACTTTGCAATCCATTTCCTCCATCTCTCTTTGCTGTTGTGAAATGTGACAACCTAGACAGATTCATTTCTGTACAACCTTCCACGTTTATTTATCTATCTGTTTTTGATACACAACTCTTTTTATCATCAGTAATTGGTCACTTCTACTAGGAGTTGTAAGGTAAACTACTTAGTTGTTGCTGTGCTGATGATAAATTGAACAGGCAACTTTCAATCGTCCATAGAACAGCCATTTAGGACTGTGTGAATACAGGGGAATTGAAACATAACTAGCAACTAGTCTTTGTTGTCCAGATGTTTGAGTGGCAGACCAGTAAACTTGGAGGTCGTCCGTTTCTACCTTATCACGACTCATCATTTTTAACTTCAATCATCATCCTCTTTTTGTTATAAGGATCATGAGCATAATACCTTGAAAAAAATAAATTTTATTCCCCTTAATATATAAGAATGGAAGTTCTATCGGTTTGAAAATATTAGTTTGAAACCAGCTAGACCACATTCTTTTGGATCAGTTAGGTCAAATTCACTTCAATTTCAATCTTTTATAAAAACAATTTGGTCGTTTTTGGCTTTTCCTTGCACTTAACTCACCTTTTTATACGATATTGCATAAGATGACACGAAAGTTGTAAACAAGTTGAACAGGCATAGTTAACTGTAGATATTTACCTTTTATTATATGAAACAGCAAAAGTATTTCCGTCGGTCGGCAAAATACGATTGATCTAATCTGATACTCACGATCTTAATTCATTATTCGTTATTGAAGAGCCCGTATTTGTTCAACTCAATAGCTTATAAATACGAAGTCGAAATCATTGGTATGATATGATTGAAATGGTAGAGATTTTATATCCTAGAAAATGAATGCTTTATTCCTAATTTTTATAAATTTACCTTATGGAAAATTTTAAGTTTCTGTTTTTCGAGCCTTTTTGCTACTTTTAATAACACTGTCTTCCTGTTGGTTAATCTCTCACTTTTAATATGCTATTTTGCCTATTCACCCCCCAAGGCCACATGAGTTGTATATAAACGCAAGTTGTGTTCCTGGGTTGTTTCCTTTATATTTTAGATTGGAGAAAACTCGCTTCAGTCCGACATTGTCTTCGTCTTATGTCAGCTGAGCGAGTTGTCAAGTATCGTGTCGTTCATCCAGTAACCTAGATTACACGTCCCCAATTAACCATATCCGAGAATCTCAACTGGGAACAATTTGAAGACTTATACTCAAGTTTAGTTTGCATTTAACCAGGCATCAACTCAGCAACATGTTTTAAAAAAGGATACTTCACTGCTTAAAACATTTGCCTAAAAACTACAAGTCTGATTTTACACTATCTCCTATAATCTAAAGACTCCGTGTAATATAGTCCTTTTTCACTGCCCTTGTACATAAGCTTATTTGCAGAAATGGACGTTTTTTTGTTTCTATTTTTTTTAATTTAGTAAGCGTTTTTGAACTTTGAAGGTCCCTTTAAAAAAGCTTACGCGCCTAATCTCTGTTTTGCTTTATTTTGTTTTCGTTCATGATAGGCTGTGTGTGACACTCCAAAACAGTCTGTACTCGATAATTTAGGAAATTGGCTATCTACTCATAAGTTAAGACCGATTGAACTATCCAGACAGTTATTCGGTGTTATTGAACAGCAAAATGCTTTACCGGTTTTGCTGGATGGTCGTCTTATTGGTTGGTTGTCAACTCTAGATGAGGCGAAACAATTAGCTTTGGAGTTAAGAAATTCAAAAGTCAGTCCTGACTGTAAGAATATTCCGCATACGCTAGAGATAGTATTGGTCCCACCAACCGATGTTGGTTCACAGTATCCTGGTTTGTATCTTTTTGCTGGTGGATCACGACTCTTGAGGCCAGTTAAAAATTTACACAAGTCAAACAGCTCAAACAGTAAAGATGTTGTTGAATGGATTGGTACCTTTGAGCAAGTGTATTTAGATATATCTGTGAAGGAGGAAGAATTAGCTGAACGCCTACCTGGTGATAAATCGCATATTGAATTGGCGCCGGAAAATATCTTTAGTTTTGTGGCTGGTTTAATCCCCTATCCTGATTTTAATCAGGTATTTGTTGTTTTTTAGTTCTGTGTCATGATAAAACTTTAGTACCGTATTAGAGTATAATTTCATATTGAATTGTTTATTTGCTATATTACATAGTGATACAGTATCATTTAATGGATGATGTTTCGAAGAGAAAGTCGTATGATTACTTTGGTATGATTATGAGCAATTAGTTATTCTCAAAGCGTTTTTAATTCGCATATTTATCCTCTTTTAACCCAATAGAAGTGATGATAAAAATCGACTATTTCACCCTTGTATCCGGTAAAATGACTAACCATTCATAGTTCCATATCACAGCGATTTTCAATATCCATGTCCCAAGAATCGGTTTACTTGACAGGTAAGCGGTCTTTCAAAGAAAACAAAACAGTTGCCTATATATAATGGTTCTTGATCGGAAGTTTACTCGTCATGAAAACCAAAATGTTGTCTGCTGATGGAAGTACTCAGTTGACTAGGCAATCGGCTACCAATACGCGGATCATCGGAACTGATTCACTCCACCTACTGCAACCCGGGCAACCAGGCAGCAGTGTTAGCTGGACAGGTAGGCGTTCCTAAAGCCTACACTCTCAATAATGAGCCATATCTATTGTGTGAGGATCAGAGGTTATACCGTGCCGTCTAGACTTCAATTGGTGCAGCAAAGTTTAAAAGCATCATCCACTTGTTGAAAGTTAAGCGCCTGAAATTTTACATTTTCGGATTAATATGTAGACGTGTGTGGTTTTTCTGAATCTTTCAGTTTACTTTCAAACTTTCTGCAGTAAATAGTTAGTTAGTTAGAATGTCTCGATATGATGATTGCAGGTAGAATAAAAACGAATCGGGGAACGATTTGGACAAGGAGTTCCCTGATGACCAACCCGAGGCTCTACTGACTGATCATCGAAATCCACTTGCTGACCAAGTTTTAACTTCATTTCGATCATAGAGGAGGTTTGCCCGGTTACCGTGTAAACGCTGTGATACGCCACTGTCCCTCTATCATAATTAAATTGGTTTATTAAAACAAACCAAAAAATATGAAGAGCAATTTTCGACAAGAAAAATAAAACTGTCATATTTAGTGCAAAAATAAAGAGGTTAAGAAAGAATAATAAACTTTCAAACTGTTCTGTCTACTTTTAAAACAAATTGAAACAATCTAACTCAGAATCATTAAGATTCAGAATACTTTTCTTTACAATAAATGTCAAGAGTACATATCGTAAGAAGATAGATTTTGACAATTAGTTTAATTACTGATGAAAATGTCACTTTTTGAATAAAACCCACCAATTCTATAACTAACATTTATCCAAAAGAAGAGACATTTAATTCAGTCGCCTTAAAGGAGTATGGGTTCTTACTTCTAAGGTATTCGATGATACTTTAAAGCATCAATGCAAAATATTTAGTGTTGGATGAATTCTTCATCTTGCGACCTAGGTTAAATAACGTGTTTAATTATTTTTTTTCCAGCTAATGGGAAAGGTGCACTAAAAATTGTTTAAATAGATTGTGTAAAATAGCAAGGATTCTTTAAATTATAATCTGTTGTACGTGTACTGTTGTAATAAATACTATGCTTTAACTCCTTGAGGTAATTCCAGAGCAAATTATATTATTAGTGTAGATTTTAAAGGATTCTTGAGTGGATATGCTAAACTATACTTGTGGGGAAATCGATAGAACCTAGCAGAGAAGTGCTTCACTTCACAACAGCATGAAAAAAAAAGTGGATGTCAAAAAGATGAACAAAAGTGTATGATACTCACATAGCTAGGACTAATCGTGATATGAACCTGAAGGTAGGGGAACATGTACTAAAATGGCTACAGAAGCAGCTGGATTCACAAACATCGATAAGCGCAGGTGACACACAACCATCATCATCATCCATTGAAAAACATATCATTGATAAAGGTCACAGGATTGATATTAGAAAAGCATGATATTTGAGAGTTGTTGAAAATATCCAAGACTTTGAAGGTGACATAAGGCTTATGCATGTCCAAATTTTCAACCATTGATTCTTATCGATTGGAAGACTCTAGCTTGATAGCCTACGCCGCTCACACCAATATTCAGACTCTAGGGACTGGTTCCCTGTCTTAATCTGGCCACTCTTGCCCTTCTTCTAACATAGTCGTACTTCGGTTAACATTGTATATCGGGATAGACAGTGGCTAGACCTGCGCAACATATTTCTAACCATCTCAGACGGTGAAGAGTTTTTCAGTTGATGATAGTGGTATATGAAAAATAATAAGGTATTTTTATCTAATCTCTATGCGTTGTGCGAACAGAACTGAAAAAAACTCAACTTTCAACCTTAAGACCACCAATTCATATGGTACTCTATGTAGTCCATTTCAATGCATCCGTTAGCTGTTGTTCGCTGTCATACTGTTAGTCTTGGTTACCATTTCGTTAATTGACTTTCCAAGTACATTTTAAGACAGTTCTACTTAAAACAACTTTAAGAATTCTCAATGTGTTGATACCTATTTTTCATTACATTGTGAATTCAATGCAGCCGGTATCTAATTAGTGTCTGCCATTTTTTCGAGGTAATTTTGTCAGTATCATTGTTGACCATTTTTCTTTCAGTCTCCTCGCAACATGTATCAATGTCAAATGGCTAAACAAACAATGGGTCATTCTAGTTACACTTGGCGTAGTCGATCAGATGCTAAAGCCTATCGTTTGTTTACACCACAAAGTCCTTTGGTTCGGACTAAAATGTATGTTAAATATGATGTTGATCATTATCCATTGGGATTCAATGCTATAGTCGCTGTGATGTCATACACTGTGAGTATTTTTACTAGTCCTTTTTCAACAGTCATATCATTGTCTTTGATGATACAGTTCATTTTGTTTCAGATATTGTTTCCTTGCCCTATGTTCCAGTACAATTCTTATACGAAAATGACATCCCAGTTAAACACCTATTTTATAGAACAGAAACAGTGTAGCAGTATCCCCTCTGCCAGTAACAATGATGTTTGTTATAATTTCAATGGAATGATAAGACACTTAAGTGTATAGTTCAGATGTTGCAGTAGGTTCTGTTGTTAACAAACCTGAATGTAGAGTTTCTGTCTAATCAGCTTTTTAACTCCATGACAAGAAATATTATGTATAAGAGTGCTACAGTCACCGAACTTGATGAAAACCAATTTGTGAATACTCAAATCTGAGCATGAAACCAATTTAGTTAAGATTTAAGACTAAAACAATCTAATTGTCTGGAGTATTCATGTAGCGATACGATGATCGAAGATAAAATGAAAACCTGGGTCGTGGTACGACCCAAACTAGTAACCTCCTGGCGTAAAAGTATATGTTAATATCTCCTTTCTACACTCTGCTTAAATGTGAGCAATTCACTTCTAGCCGATTACATAATCATACATTTCTAAAATTTAATACAGAATCGAATGTTTGTATCTTAGTTACAAGTTATGTTTTACACTTCGATCTGATTATTCACAGGGTTATGATATGGAAGATGCTATGGTGATCAATAAAGCGTCATATGACCGTGGATTGGCTGGGGCATGTATCTATAAATCAGAAGTTATTGACCTGTCATCACTTTCTAAGTCAACGTCTACAAGTAATCCATTTCAGAAGAAAAGATCGTTGGCTGCTGAACACTATTTTGGTATGTCATCTGTAATATAACAGTTTTCAGTGTTTATGGATGTTTTTATAACACGTAATATATATATATATATATATATATATATATATATATATATATATATATATATATATATATATATATATATAGTACTTGTGAGTAAGAGGAGCGGAATGCTCATTTTTTGTCCTCAAGAAGTGTGTTGATCTACCAAGTTGAAACTTTAGTGTAAATCAACTTCTTGCTATTAGTTGGTCTCACTTTGTGTGAATTCGAGTCATCAGGGGACTATTTACTGTTTGGATGATGTATTCTATATCACTTGTTCTAATACTTTGTTTTGTTGTTTATTAGTGTACAAAATTGAAAACTGATTACGGTTCGGCGTAATGCAATGGAATATTAATTGTGGATTAGAGATTGTTTATTCATCGTTCCATAGATAAATCATTTTTGGATTAATTTCATGAGTGAACAGATCGTCATTAACTGCATGGAATTCGACATTTTGTACGTAATGGTTTAGGCTGACACAATTAGTATCAGCAAATTTACATTGGAAGTCAACTAGAGGGACGACGAAAAAAGAAGTATGAAATAGTTAATCGTAAAAGTTATCAGAAGAGGAAAAGCGTTAATGAAGGGAATATACAATAGGCGAAGGTGATCAGGATCTACTTTACTGCAACCTACTTTGGGTCATAATACTCAGAGTTTCTGATTACCTGATCATTAATTGAAATAATTTGTTATACACTCACATTTAATTTTAAAACCATCTTATTATGACCATTGTCTTTTTTTTTTAATTGATACTAGGTTTCGCTGGTGAATCAACTAGTAAAGGTTTGGATATAGATGGTTTTCCACCTATTGGCACCCGTTTAGAGTCTGGTGTCAGTTGGTTATACGCATATACACACGGCGAAACACAAAAAACTACACTTGTCAAATATGAAAGTGGTGAACAGATTGCCTATGTTGACTCCATATCTCTCAATGGATCTTGGAGTTCTGTAAGTTGTTCTTTGATGTGTTTAATCTATCGGTTCAGTTCAGCTAAACATTTTTTGCTGATCTATCATCAGAATTAATTACAACTTTTCTTTTCATAATTAGGTCACAATTACTCTTCGATTACCTAGACCACCAGATATTGGAGATAAGTATAGTAGTCGTCATGGTCAAAAAGGTATTAATAGTCTGTTAATCCAGTGTGAAGAAATGCCATGGTCAACTACGAATGGTCTTATCCCTGACTTGATATTTAATCCGCATGGTTTCCCAACTCGAATGACAATGGGTATGATGATTGAATTTCTGGCTGGCAAGTCGGCGGCATTGACAGGTGAGACTAAACATCTTTTTTAAAAGTTATCTGCTGCGTGTATACACATAAGGATTTCACTTTGTCAAAGGTGGTTAACAGAAAACCATGAATATTGGCTTCATGCTTGTTGGGGCTCATCAGCAAGGCGTACCTGCATCCTCAAGGCAATTGATATACCAAGGGAGATGTAAACTCATGACACCCACTGTTAGACAAGACTCAGGTGCATGATTTCCTGTTGATTGTCTCTAACCAACTAGCATCAATCTAAGTGCACCGCGTTGTTAAGTCTCCTAACTTGATGACCACATTGCAATAATGGACGATATATTAATTCAGTTAGCACTTAGAACTAGAGAACATTAAATTGCTTTCTCTTCAACAATTAGTCGGTGTATACATATACTTGTATTGATGTTTTTGCTGATTTCCGATGCACATGTTCTACTCTGGTGGACTTCGTTTCATTGATGAAAAAATTATTTACACTTTTCTCTTGTGTCTGTTTGTGTTAGACAATTAAGGAAACGATATATTTTTTGTTCAACATCCAGATAATATTGGTTTATGTTCACTTTTCAAACTGCTGCATACAACAGTCATGTTGATAAATATGTACTATCAAGTTTTCACCAAAAGAGCATACATATAACCTTACAGTAACCTGTAAAATACCCTCAGGGATTTTACTTTAAGTCGATGTTGTTTTCAGTTAAGAATAATTTCGAAGACTATTCAAAATGATCACAAATGTATGTTTATAAAGCTTTCAAAAAAAGGAGTACATTCAAATACCTCATGATGATCAGCTTTGATTATTTCGTTTAAAATATATGCGTGTAGTACTAAAACAGCTTGTAGTCATCGTGACTGTGGCAAAAGTAGTTGTCCAACTGACCTATAAGATTGCTTCTGAATGTGATGAATATTATACTACTGTATAAAAATTTCGTTATTCTTCTAAGGTCGCGTATCTATATATTTTTGATTATTTTAAGTGACCTTTGATTACTGCTCAACATTTGGGCGACTAGGTAGTATCGCTGGCCCTCATACACAACAAGTGGGACTTGCAACGCAGTGAATACACCTGGATTTTCTTTTCTTGGTTGCATGAAATTTAGCCTTTTATTTTTTAAGCCTATATTTGTTTTTATTCGAAAAAGAAGCACCTTTACAATGTTGCATCTGTCTTGTTTCATACCTTTGTATGTTCATCCAGGAAAGCGAGTTGATGCAACACCATTCCAATGGTCAGAAGATTCTCCACCATATGAAGATTATTGTCGTATATTGACTGACTGTGGATTCAATCACTGGGGCACAGAAACAATGATGTCTGGATCTACTGGACGTCAGTTAGAAGCACAGATATATATTGGAGTTGTTTATTATCAGCGTTTACGGCACATGGTAGCTGATAAGTACCAGGTATGTAAAATATAACAATTTAATTACACTCTTCTCTCTGTTTATTTAAACTGTATGTTTTGTTTTGTATATTGGTCATTTAGAGGTAGTTGTGAAAGAAATCTCTAAAAGTAAAACAGTTGAATCTGGTAATGGATATATCTATATCTCTCGTACTCTTGCAGTATGTATCTAAATTCTTAAAATCTTTCCTGAGACGAGTGGTGAATATCATCGACTCATTATGATCTTATATATTCATAGGTTTTATCGATAGGAAAAGTCACGAATGCTATTGTATCCGCATGAAGCTAGATCAACAGCTATGCATATTGAGAGGGAAGGTGGAAGCAAATAAGTAGTTTTGGACTGTCAATCAACCATTCTTATTTGGTGTTACTGGATCAGGTTGCCCAAACTTCTTTGTATTTCGGCAAATGCAGTTGTTCCCAGACGTTAGTTACTACCTTGACGCGGTGCTCGGGTTTGCATATCGCAATGAGCTATTCTGTTGGAACGCCTGTTCCCTCGAGGTCCTACAATGGGGTAAAGGTCTGTTGGATAGTGATAAGACGAAAAGCAGTTGCCGTGATAGTGTAAATTACTACACTATGGTGGGGGCCTGAGGACGAAGTCGTACGGCTACTAGCTGAATGGTGTGTTACAGCAGAAAGGTATTTCCCTTGTGTGACCAGTAGTGTCGCGTTGATGCTGCGTTTTCAACGCGAATGAGAGATTGGAAAAGGTTGACCCCAAAATTAGCACTCTCCATCAACTCTACTGTCTTCCGGTGCTAGCGGTATAGGTTCTCTCTATCCGGTGTTAGAACAACCAAACCTCAAAACGAAATACCACAAAGTGTGTCAAACATCAAGCAGATGTTCCATGGGCTCTGCGGTCACACAAATTCTTTTGACTTTCAGGTGCCTTAAGAAGAAATAGCCTTCCGTGGTGTATGCAGCCAAGAAGTGTCAATCGTTCGCACGCTTCTATTAGTACTCAAGACCCAATAAAACACAACCTATCCCTCTCAACTCCATCTCCTTATTCATTTTTACCTCCTGATACTGATATTAAACTTTTTATACCTTCCCCAACCTCTTACTTTGAAACCACCAAAAATCAAAGTCACTAAACTTCATTGCTTATCGCCTATGACTCAGCCATCGATTTCATGTAGGAGCTTTCAACGTGCGAACTCAATGCCAAATCTGACAGCAGGCATCAGTCGCCAAAACTCTGAAATCTCTTGTCATGGATGTGATTTGTGTCTCTGAGACACGTATACACGACCTGAGTGCTGTTACTAAATTGACCCCACCTGGTCATAGTAGTGAATCTTCGAAATCCACCTTCAGAGTATCCGGAGACCCAATTATTAGCTCTCGTAGACTCGCTAGTGTAGGCGTAACATAGAGATGTAGACCAGAAAGTACGCCCCTCAACTCTGTACAGTCGTTTATGTGCTGTTTGACTGAATGGATCTGTAAGAACTAATAAGGATCGTGAGACTAGGCGATGCACATTCGTAATTTCCACCTACGCACCCACCGACTGTAGTTCGAATGATGCAAAGGATGAATTCTATGAGAAGCTGTCAACTTTGCTTCAGAGAGCAAACAGTTCAACCAAGTCATAATGGTATGGGACTTTAACGCTCAATTAAGCGAACAGAGCTAATCGAAAAAGCATATTGAAGGTATCTACAGAATCCACTGCCAGCGAACCGACAACGGTGATCGTCTGTTGTGATTTTGCTCTGATGATCACTTGGGTTTTTTTGGCCAGCAATAACTTTAGGAATAAGGAGAGAAACTGTCTCACATGGCGTCCACCGAAATCAAATCAATGGTGGACACAGGTAGATTATATTCCTATAAGCCATCATTGGGGGATTCCCGCTGTTTCTGGAGTACCAGTTTGGACTCGGACTACTCGTTAATATGGCGTCGTGTATGTTTGTGTGTTACTGGTCGCAGGAAACAGGCGACAGTAAAGTTTGACTATAGTCAGTTCGAATATTAGAACGTGAGTTGCGTATTTAGGCAAGAGTGAGCTAAGCATCTATCTGGACGTGACAGCAATGCTCATACTGAGGAAACCTGGCGTGGTATTAAATCTGCTGTAGAAACAGGTGGTAAAGACTATCAGTAACCTACACCTGAAGGTTAGAAAACGTCATTGTATTTCTGGGACGTTATCCGAAGACTGATTCCAGCTGGTTCTGACCACAATGAAGAGTGAAACCAACTTAAGTATAAGTTGACCAAGATTTTCCGCAAACCTCACGTGCATAGGTGGATGGCGAAAGCAAGAGATACAGAAGGCATCAGCGTTAGGTAAAACCCGGTAACTATTTAGACTTATTAAGGATACTGGTAAGAAGAAGATGTAGGTGGGTGCAATGGATGGAACGTTGAATAGAACACTTCGGAGAACAGTTCAACTGACCCCCAGCAATGCTTTAGTTGCCCAACATCCAGCCTGAAGCTGAACGGGACACAGATGTCGATCCCCCGACTCTCTTTGAAATTGAGAAAGTAATGTCGAACCTTAAAGGAAGCAAAGCAGCAGGACGTGAGAGTTCGGCACCTGATGTTCCCAAGTATGGATGTTGGAAATTGTTGATTAGTGTGGCGGAGGTACTAAGTAGTGTATGAAAATTAGAGGTAGTGTCGTTAGACTGGTGTACTTCACGGATCATTCCAGTTTATTAGAAGGGGCAGAAGTCTTCTCGTGACAACTATAGGGGAATTCGTTTGACTAATACCGTGTCGAAGATCCTAGGGTCTATAATTATCCGGCGCCTAACTGGGGCTCGAGAAAACGAGGCAGATTTCAGAACTATAGGTATAAAACTTGGACACCGTGATAGAATTTAATTCCATAATACATTTGTTCATGTGATTTATAACACACAGTGATCTAGTATTATTTGCTTGATGAAGTTTCAAGCATAAATTATTGTTCATAATTACATCACATTGATATGATTTATGCTTGAAACGTCATGAAGTAAATAATACTAGATCACTGTGTGTTATAAATCAAATAAACGAATGTAATACGGAATTAGATTTCAGAACTGTTTGGCTACGCATACATCATATTTTCATCCTCCGACAGGTTCTGGAATACAAGCATACTTACCGTCGACCGAAACTTGCCTTATGTCTTGAGCTGAAGATAGCACTAGACTCAGTCAACTGTGAGTTGTTTTGGCAGTGTCTAACTGTAAAGAGAGTAGCGAGCAAGTATATAACGCTTATCAGAGCCCTCTATTGGAACTCACGTAGCCGTATAATGGCTTACGATGAGTTATCATGTGAAATGACGTCAACCAGTGATGTCCGCCAAGAATGTCCGCTGTCACCGTTCCTGGTTAACTAATGGGCTAATGTACATAACGTTAGGTAAGTCTGACTTCTCAGGGATTTTCCTGTTTTCTAAAGGACATCTGGTTAACCTGGAGTATGGAGACGATGTTCTCCTGCTGGGTGTAAACGCTGACAAAATGCAGAGTCTTCTGGACACCAAGCAGATATCTGTGTATGTTTGGCATGGGTTTTACTCGCACCTGTGAAATGTAAAATGATACTCCAGAACTGGTCTCCAACGACTCCCACTTTAGTAGTAAGGAGTGAAGTGGTCTAGTGTATCGACTGCTTTACTTATTTAGGAAGTTGCATCAACTCGAACAAGCTAGTTGCTAACGTGATCTCAGGTCACATAGAGAAGGCCTATTTGGTATTTGCCAACTTGCGTCATCTCTAGTGCCGACTGGCGAGATATCCGACTATCTGTCAAAGGACGAGTACACCACACGGCATTTCGTTGTTCCCTGTTATACGACTGAGACATGGTTGCTAAGACTAGACGATGTGAAGCGCTTGCAGGGTTTGATCATAGATATCTTCGTAGCATTGCTTGCGTTTGGTGGAATTACCATGTGAGCAATGCTGAGGTCAGGTGAAGGGTACTAAGCAAGATAAGCTGTTCGATTGTTGAGGTTATGAACCGTAGTCGATAGAGGTGGCTTGGACATGTACTGAGCATGCCGAGCCACCACCTTCGATGTGCCATGCTATGGGAGGTTGGAAGAGTATTCAGGCTGGCCAAACCAAGACCCGGCACCAGTCGATGAAGTTTCTCACTGTTGGTCTGAGACCTGTTGGGAGATGTAGACTGTCTGGTTGGCGTCTCTGAGACGAAGGCAATCAGTGGTTGAGGACTGTTTGTTACATGGCTAAAAATCGGTCACAATTGCGTAGATATATTCACTCATGAGCATGAAAACCTTGAATGTTTGCACGAACCTTTATCTTCAGATTGTTTATTCTCCCACACTACTTTATCCACTTTGATATCACTGTTTTTCTATGCGCCTGTACTACTATGAAGTGTAGCAACTTGGGCCGATGGACTTCTTTGTGATGTTCTACGCTGATTTTGTCAGTCGGTCGGTCAAGTACAGTTATTTTTGTTCAATTATCGTATATTGGCTGTAAAAATCTTTATTGGGATTGGTAATGAGTGGTAAAAGGGCTGCTGTGAAGTTCACTATGTGAACCGAATAGTGTTAAGAAACCCAGTTTGACAACTTCTGTTGTTATAATGGTTACCTCGCAAATGTGATATGTTTTCATCTCGGATACCGGTTAACTTCGTAAAGTCATACTCAAGGCTGTTAGTTTACTAGTCTCATAAACTGTTTCAATGTAATTCTAAAAACTGTTTGTATATGTATAAGCATGTCTGGTGACAATCAGTGTGACCCTATTTATTCTACTATTTCGCAATATCCGTAGGAAATCTCATCCTATTAATTAAGAGTAGAGTAGAAGACTCTTTGTACGCCGTTATCTAAACTGAATAATGCCTAGACTTTCTGTAAATGTTCAATCATCATCTTTAACTAAATTTCATATGTTACGGTATTCATTTACTGTGTTGTGAATTTGTTCCCTTTGGTGTTTAACTTTTCTTAGGTTCGTGCTGAGGGTCGTTTCGATCCAATACTCCGACAACCAATTAAAGGACGTAAAGTTGGTGGTGGTATTCGTCTTGGTGAAATGGAGCGTGATTGTTTACTATCCCATGGTTTAGTTTTCAGTCTACAGGATCGCTTAGTTGATTCTAACTGTGATAAAGTTAAGGTAGGAATCAGATTACACATTTATGTGCATATAGTCTTATGGCTAAGTTTAATAAGCCATTTCCTTATCTATGAGCATGTTTCAACTACACATTAGTTTATTCATCAGGAGAAACTAGAATTTCAGGTTTTGACTCTGCAACTTTGAAGTGTACCACTGTTGTAGCTTGGTAGAATCTTGTAGATAACCTCATACGAGTCCCAAAAATCGTTGATTTTTCTACCAAGTATTTTAACTGTTCGGCATTATTGAAACCAACAGTTCACTTTTTACCTCAAAACCTGATGTCATGTATTTTAGTTACTGTCGAGCAGACCAACACAGTAATAGATAGGCGTTAAAGGATATAAAACCTTGTTGTGAACTAAAGGAAAGAAAATTGATAATGATGCTGATTAAATCGGTCAGTTTTTCTTTGGAGATAACTAGTAAATATTTACTTATTAGTGCCATAATTTTTTGCGTCATAAAAACTTCAACAACAGGTTTTTGCTATCTCAAAAATCATAGCCAAAAAGTTCACAATCCAATCAACTGTCTGTCTAACAGACTACCTTATATCATCATCTAAGCATTTGCCGACTTTCTAAACCCTACTGATGTACCAGGACACATTCCATGAAGTGAACGACAAAGACTAGTCGCACGTAGCACTTCTCCAAAGCATTCACTAGTTTATCCTTCCTATTCTAATCTTTACAATAATTTACAGACATGTCATTTCATTTGAATGAAGCAGAAGTGTTGTAACTGTTGTGCGAAGGCTAACTAATACAGAAGCGGAGTTTGATGAAGCAGCACAGATTTTATGCTGGGAAGTTGCGACAACAGTAACGATAAACATACTGAACCTTACAATAAAGTCCCTTTAGCAAACATTCTTGTTTCAAGATTCTAGTATCCAGTGTCTTCTCCGTCTATATTCGGTGCAGTGCCTCATTGGTTTGCGAAGATGACTTTCAACCAGTGGGTCGCGGGTTCGAGCGCCTACCGAGGTTTGGGCAGCCAGGTAGTATCACTAACCGTCATACAATAGGTGTAGCTCATTGCCTACTACATAAATGTCCACTAGGTTGCTGAGGAAATTTCGACTCGACTCCATATTCCATCTTCTCTCCTCAATCTTCACTAGTCAATTGTTGTCATTTCCCTTGTTTTTTGATGTTACGTTATTTACCACAGATGTAAATTTTTATAAGTAGTGTCCACCACAGTAATACCTGCCTTGTGAAATCTCACTTTATAGAGCGGGTTTGAATATGTGAATCATTAATTGGAAAATTGAATGCTCACATGTATTAACTGGAGCTTCGTAATCGCTATGTTTTGGTATTTAGAGCCTCTGTTTGCTACTTTCCCAGCAGTTTATTAGTTTATTTTGTTTTTCACCACTTTGTTTCGATTGAAGATGTTTGCTTGCTCGAAGTGTGGTGGTTTAATACATGCTGATTTAGTACGAAATATTACTAGCACCATGACGAATCATATCACTTCAGAGGATTCTTCTTCGAATATTCCCAATTCAAATCAATGGTGTTGTCGATTGTGCAGTAGTGATAGCAGAGAAGGTCCATTGTCTGATAACAAGAAAAGCACTCTGAAATCTGTTCAAGTTTCAGCTGCATTCAGATATCTTACCTATGAATTGGCTTGCCTAAATGTTAAAACTCGCTTAGCATTAACTGATCTTGAATAAAGTGTGAATAAAATATAAATACTCTTTTTTTTTACCGAAAGCTTTTTTTCTTGAAGATTACATTTGTGGTGAATTTCACTAGTTACTTAGTTGTATTTAAATTTTTAGAAAAAGACTGATTAAGCGGGTGAAGAAATATATTTCTTTTCAATTAGGTCTTCATCTTGGGCTCTACACTAATATATTGGTTTACAATTTAATCAAATTACTAATCGCGTGGTGATGTTTCGGAAATGATGATGTAAATAATCAACAGAGTTACTAAAATTGGAAGTATGAATATTGATAGAAACAAAAAGGGGAAGAGGTGTACAAAGTAAACCTAGAAGTTAGATCATGTTGCGGCCACGGTAGTGAAAGTGGTCGAACAAACTTCTTTTGGATACAAAGGCTAGGTTTGTGAAGGTGGATTGCAATCGACTCTGTTATGTGAAGTAACCGAGTGCGTAATCCATGAGGTGAATAATTAGAATCTGATGGATGATTTTGAAGGCTTTTCCAGTAACCACTTGATGTCCTGTGTCAACTAAGTGTGCAAGTACGGAGCTCTTTATAGTTCTAATTTGTCCCTTGTTCAGCCATGCACACAGGACATCAAGTGGTTACTGGAAAAGCCTTCAAAATCATCCATCAGATTCTAATTATTCACCTCATGGATTACGCACTCGGTTACTTCACATAACAGAGTCGATTGCAATCCACCTTCACAAACCTAGCCTTTGTATCCAAAAGAAGTTTGTTCGACCACTTTCACTACCGTGGCCGCAACATGATCTAACTTCTAGGTTTACTTTGTACACCTCTTCCCCTTTTTGTTTCTATCAATATTCATACTTCCAATTTTAGTAACTCTGTTGATTATTTACATCATCATTTCCGAAACATCACCACGCGATTAGTAATTTGATTAAATTGTAAACCAATATATTAGTGTAGAGCCCAAGATGAAGACCTAATTGAAAAGAAATATATTTCTTCACCCGCTTAATCAGTCTTTTTCTAAATGTCTAAATGGGAATATTCAGTATATTTAAATTTTTACTGGATTGCGAAGGTTTTACTTAAAGTGTGTATGGTTATTGTTAACTGTTTTGAATCAAATAATTAGACTCTTTCTATTCACACTTTAATTCATACACTTGAAGTCAGGTTTGTATTTTTTTAAAATTCCACTATCTGCGACTTAGTCTCTGCTACGTTCAAACTATGATAATGGTAGCTAGATGTAAAGGGTAATATGGCGATACGGTAAAGTTTGACACTCAAATATTAACCATTAGGTTGCAGGTATAAAATCTCTTCAGTCTGGACAACTGGTTAGTTAACCTGTTGCTTAGCCCTATTATACCTATTTGTTGCTATCGTTAGTTGCGTTGATGAACATGAGGACGGTTACACAATAAGATGAAGATGAGGAAACTACTTATTCTGTCGCATTTAGGATGACCTTCAATGTCTTCAGATTTTTGGAAGGGATCTCATAAATCTATGGTTGGATTGTAAGTGCTCCTATGCAAGAAATTGTATCCGAAAGTATTTAATGAATAATTTCTTTCCGTTTCTTGATAATTTATTTCATTATCAGTATGATGTGAACACACTAACTCTACGTGTAATATCTAGTAGTAACAAAATTCATGTTATATAATCATTCATAGCTTCAATGGAGATTTCTTCTCAGGAAAAGTTGTGGATTTATTTTTTGTATTGTATTAATCATATGTGCATATCGAATTAGTTCTGATGTTATCTCAGACTGGGGTAAACCTGTAGAAATGTGAATAGAAATAGAATAAGAGTGGATAAACTTTATAATGTGAATTATTTTCAGATTTATTTCTTCCAGACCATCATTGCTTATAAACTCCACAATTTACCAAAATGCATTTGTTAAGGATGTTTCAACTGTGTATATGTTTGGCTCAACGAAATCCAGATTTTGCGAGCGAGACCACTTTATCTCAGTGGTCAGGTATCTATTCAAATTTAGTTAGACATTTACGTCATTATAGCAGTTATGAACTAGCATGGAGTTCCTCTCCAGCGCAGCCCGGTTGACAGTAGTTCTTTAACTAATATTGCTCACATTTCAGTACACAAAGTGTATTGAGTTGCTTTGTAAGCGCAGGCATGATTTGTGCTCAGTAGAAACTTCTATGCACCTCATAGAACCTCTATGTTTCAATTATTGTAGTTTAGAAGTTAATATTTTTTTCTTAGAGTGTATATATGTAGGCGAAATGCAATGCTTGGTCGTATAAATAATTACTAACCTTAAGAACTAATTCCTCTAGGATCATGATAGCAACGTTCAACTCAAAAGGAAGGAAGGTCACAATCATACAATGCTACGCACCTACAAATAATGCAGATCAAGAGAAAAAGGAGGAATTCTACAGACAACTGCAATCAACACTGGACAAGACGTCAGTTGGCGATATCAAAATTCTAATGGGTGGGGTGACATGAATGCCAAACTGGGAGGGAACAACACAGGAAGAGAACTAACCATGGGTCGAGAAGCGCTCGGTGGGGTGATGAACGAGAATGGAGAATTGTTTGCAGAATTCTGCGCATTCAACGATTTGGTGATTGGAGGCATTGTGTTCAAGCACAAAGATATCCACAAAGCGACATGGATTCGACTTCAGCAGATGGACACACTAAAAATCAAATCGACTTTATCTCAATCTCAAGAAAATGGAGACGCAGTCTACTTAACACAAGGTCAAGAAGAGGAGCAGATGTAGGTTCACATCACTCACTATCTAGTGCAAGGAACCTTCCAAATCAAGTTAAAAGCCTTCAAGGAAGCTGGTGATAGACCACAGTTCAAGTACAACACTCGGAAACTGAAGGATGAAACTACAAAGGAAATCTTCACGACAGCCATCAAGACAAAATGGGAGATATCGAGAAACAACCTTAAGAAACCTGTGTGGAAGAACGCTGGAAGTCTTTGAAAGAGATGTGAAAAGAAACCTGCACAGCCGTATTAGGAAGGAAGAAGACAAGGAATGGATCTCGATGGACACATGGAAGCTGATAGAGGAGAGGAGGATGGTGAAGCAGAAGATAAACCAGTGCAAGGATGCTCAACGACAAGAGGAACTGAGCACAATGTATAAAACACTAGACAAAGAAGTGAAGAAGAGTGCACGGAAAGACAAAAGACACTTCTACGAAACACTGGCAAGTGAAGCAGAACAGGCTGCAGGTAAGAGGGACCTGACGACATTGTATCAAATAACCAGGTTTATATCTGGGAGGGAAGAGATCAACACAGATGAAACCAATAAAAGATGAATAAGGAAATTTAATTACGAAAGAAGAGAAACAGAGGAAACAATGGGCCGACCACTTCAAAAAGCTCTTGAATCGACCACCACCTGCACTTCGTCCAGAAATACCAACTGCAGCCGCTGAATTACAAGTGAACATAAATCCTCCAACGAAAATGGAAGTCCTGACCGCCATAAAGCTACTGAAATGCGGGGAAGCAGCAGGACCAGATGGGATTCCGCCAGAAGCACTGAGAACAGACGCAGAGACAACAGCGGACATGCTCACACCACTATTGCAGAAGGTGTGGAAGGAAGAGAAGGTACGTGGCGATTGTAAGAAGGGTAACCTTGTCAAACTGCCGAAGAATGGCGACCTCAGTGTTTGCGAGAAATGGCGCGGAATCATTCTCATATCCCTGTCCACCCCAAGTAAAATATTAAGCCGCATCATCCTGGAGAGGCTAAAGGATGCACTGGATTCAAAACTACGACCCGAAGAGGCTGGCTGGCTGGCTTCAGGAAGTACAAATCATGTGCGTATCAAATTGCAACGCTACGCTGTGCATCATCATAGAACAGAGCATAGAGTGGCAATCAGCTCTCTACCTCAACTTTATCGACTTTGAGAAGGCCTTTGACAGCGTCGACCGAGAAGTATTTTGGAAACTGCTTCATTACTACGGAGTACCGCAAACCTTTAAGAAGACTTGGATTTCACCGACGATTTGTGCCTGATGTCACATAAACTTGAAGATCTACAGTCGAAAACTAACAAGTTGGCAGAAGAGGCAGGTTGGCGAAGACGGTACTTCAAGTGAATATAGAGAAGACAGAGGTGATGAAGATAGCCAACCAACTCCACCACCAACAACAACAAGCTCCAATCACCATCATAGGGAGAAACCTAAAGGAAGTAGCCTCATTCACCTATCTAGGAAGCACTGTTCCAACTACAGGCGGGACAGACGAGGACGTCAAAGCCGAGATCGGAAATATAGCAAGACAGGCGTTCATTAGCCTGAAATCAGTGTGGAGATCTCCTGCACTGAGCATGTGGAACAAGATTCGGATTTTCAACACCAACTTCAAGTCAGTGCTCCTGCATGGTTCAGAAACTTGGCGCGTTGCGAAAGGCATTTCCAACAAACTATAGACATTCATCAACAACTGCCTACGCTCGTTACTGAAGATGGCGATCGGATGACCAGAAACCATAAGCAACTCTGGCAACAAACCAACCGAGAACCTACCACTGAAAAATATGCAGAAGGAAGTGGAGATGGATTGGGCATACACTGAGAAGGCCAACTGGGGACATCACGCGTTAGGCCCTCGAGTGGAACCCGCATGGGAAGCGACGAATTGGGCGTCGATGCCGAGGGTGACATGGAGGAGATCGTGCGAGGAGGAAATGAGAGCTTCTGGGCAGTCGTGGAGCCAGGTTTAAAAGATTTCAGAGTGGAGTGGAGATGTGCTACTGAAGCCCTATGTTTCATTGGGAACCCAAGGGACAAATAATAATATAATAATTAAGAATTAACTCACCTGGTTGTATCCCATAGCATTGTTGCTCAACCGATTGTTTATTTGAATCTGGATGTTTACTTAACAATGGATTTCTATTCATGATGAAGGATTGGTAAGATTCAGCGTTGTGTTTAAGCTTCATTTAAATCATAAGTAGCACTCACCTTCTCGCTACTCTTATTTGTTTCG